GTCACTCCACAGTCCCACAGACCTCCTTCAACTGTCTCTGAATCCCACTTATATGATCACTCCCAGTGTGACCTTTGCAGCCAGGAAGGGAGTCAAGGTGTAACAAAATAGGTAGAAAACCATCGTGTTTACTGCTAAAAAGCTAGTATATTATGAGACTTGCCATCATATCAACTAAATCTAAACATCTCTTATATATTTGAATCTAAATCAAACAAAGCGTTGTACAGTTTAGTGTTTGGCTCCGATAGCTCCTCTCTGTGGCGGCTGTGTGTTTATTATTAAGTGGATTAACCTCCTTAGATTATCTTTCCATCTGTCTACGGACACTGTACTCCAGGCGGCACAAGGAAACACCCTTAAAGATGTTTACAGTAGTCTGCCCTAGTGACCCAGAGAGCAGCGCAGCCAAACGGGTGGTCACATGTGGTGCGACAATGTAATACAGTATTATCCCTGATTAGGCCTGGTTCAGCTCTGCACGGGACTCGACACACGAGACTTCTTAGATTAGGTGCAGAACATAAAAAAAGCACTACGCACCAAAATCTTAAGGCTTACAGTAGTTCGAAATATGATGCATTCCACCAAAACATTATTAAAATGGTATGAGTCATGATCTAATATTTCAAATGTCATGATACTCAATACCAGTTTTGAGTTTTTAACATGCTTTTTGAGCTGGAACAAACACTAACAGTACTTTTTGTCATTATTTATTGAAAAATGTAAAAGTACAATTGAGTATCTGATTTTAGATACTTTCAACAAACCCAAAAATCTTGCCGAGGTTTTTCCCTAGATTGCTCAATGTGATAAAGTTACCAAATTCAAACCAGGTGTGTTACCCATAGCAACAACAAAGTCAACAAGGACCAAAGCTCGTCACACAATACTTAGGAAACAAAAAGTAAAAAGACAGGACAACGCCTTATTTAAATTAATTGAAAAGGTGCAACTTGTGTAAGTAATCTTTCTATATATAGCGTAATTCACAGAACAAAGTCATTGGAAATTACTGGTAAAACAAAATTGGATTAACTCCGCACGATGATGACAGAAGCCCTGAAACATCACTTTTCTTTCACTCTCTCATTACATTCAGACCGATTATACATGTTTTTAGTGTTAGGGGAAACTGGAGCATCTGAAGGAAACCTGAGCAGACACGGGGAGAACAATGTCCATGCTTAGAAACTGTTAGGCCCTGTCTGGAGAATAAATCAAACCAAAGACCTTCTTGCTGTGAAGCACAAGCTCTATGGAATATATGAAAATCCTTGCTGTTGGTTTACTCTTTCATTAGATATTTTGTTCCACAGACTTCTCGGAGCCAAACATGCAATTTAGGTGCATTTGGCTAATTTTCACAATGGGTCATCATAACTCTACGGACTCCTGGACACCTGCATTTCTCCTGCTGGGTTGAACTATCTAACAGCCACTCGACTGATGTAAATCTAATCCAAATAGTCACCTCAGGTTCTGTCTCATGCACCAAAGTAATGAACAAGGGGAAAATTGATTTACTGTTCCCTCTTACTTATGGCTCCACCAGGCCGAGTTACAGCAGTGTTTATTAACTTATTTTGAAACCAGTAACAGTAACAAAGAGGCCCTGGCGACAGTGGTGCTGTGGGTCAAATTACTAATATTGGAAAATGGGTTTTGATCAACGATGGTTTCATTATTTGATTGTTAGCAGTGAATTCCATCTTTTACTTGTCAGCGAGAAGCATCTACAGTCAAAATAGAACTCACTGTATACTCACCTTTATCAACTTTATTCAAACTTATTCATGTTTGAGGGAGAATGATCATAATTAGCTCCACAATACATAAACAGAACTAAAAGGCCATTTTGAATTCCACAGATATGCCCAATTTGAATCCTATTTCTTATTCCAACCAATTTTAATTTCTTTCAAATAAAGGCAACATTTCTGCATTTTCTTTTGTTCATTCATGTTGTTTGATAATAAAAAACAGTATGGACAAATATCAAGTAGCTTCCCTTCTGCAAAGTTAATGTGAGGGAAGTGTCCAGATGCGACTGATGTCATTACAGCAGCGTGAGCAGAAACAGAGACGCTGAGGCCAAAGCGGGATACAGACCACAGTAAACAAAAAATCACCTCAAATCAAACCTTTAGAGTTCCCCTGCTCTCTCTTTCTTTTATTATTGTTTTTGCATTTCAACCATATTGTGATTTAAGATTACGGACTCGTGAGGTCTCTTACTACTCAATTTACCCCAGTGTAAGAGATATATTCTGTCTTCATTCCTGCATTTGTAACTTTATTTTATTGTTTAAGGTGGAGTCCTGGTCTTGAGGTGCAGTGTGTTTGTGTGAGTGAATGATAATAAAGAGGGAAGCGTGAGAAAGTACCCCATAGGTGTCTCTGCTAATTAAAATGATAATTTCACTAATCTCAACAATTTGTCTCTTGGGGTAAAATCGGTTAGATTATGTGAAATAGATTAGAATTTCCCCCAGGCCCTCCTCAATCAGGAATAAAGGGATGGAAATGAAATTAAATGACATAAAATAGATCTTCTTTGAGTCACTAATTGACACTTTGAGCTGAGAACTGTCTCATTGGCTGAGTAAGGGAAAAAATAAATTGTATTACTAAGTTCCATTTATTTGTGGTAGCTTTTTGGACACTCAAAGATGCTTCACATGGCATTATTCATTCACTCCATAGCCACCACAGCTGCCCTGGGGCATTCTGACAGAAGTGAGGCAACCCTTATGTGTTATCAGACCACCACCATCCATTTGGGTAAACTGTAATGTGTTCACTGAGGTCTCCCATCACATTACTAACCAGGCCCTGACGTGCTAAGATTTAGAGATCTGACGTGGCTAAAATTCAGTCAAAATGTGATGTATTAACGTGTGCATATGTTATTTAGTTTGAAGAACAGGCTCTTTGGGCTTCATGATCATAATCCTTGGTGAAATGATGTGGTTTATATGTTTAGCTAGCATCTTTTAACAAGTGAGTGTGGTACGCGGTTATTCTGTTACTCTTCTCGTCTTTTGCGGTCTATATGTGTAAAAATAATGACACACAGTCCATATTTAACACTCCAATGTTATATCTACATACTTACCGAGTCTCTTCAGGCGGTTAAAAAGCAAGACAAAGTTGAAGAGTTCTCTGTAGCATCAACACGTGGTTCTATCGCCACCTAGTGTTCAAATGACATAACACAGGCACGGAGAGGGCGCTGGACTCATACAGTAAGACTCCTACACGAATGGAAAACATATATGACGTTATCAGATTCAGTTTCAGATGTTATTTGCCATTTTGAGCACAACCAAATTGAAAAACATGTGCAAAAGTTCTCCAGTGTGCACCAGACAGATATGTAAAATAAAACAAGCGAGGAACAATAGTCACTGTGAGACCAATCTACGAAACCAAGCGCTAGATCAGGTTATATTAATTTGACATTCTAACATTTATCATTCTTATTAATCAGTTTAAATTCAAGAATATTCAAGGACATTTAATATATCATTCAATGCTGATCACTCACCTGTTCTGACAATTGACTTTATTTTATTATAATTACTACAGTATCGCATATGAACTATAGTGGCTCGGTTGGTAGAGCAATGGCCTTTGGGTTATAGGTCTATAGGTCGTGGGTTTGAGTACTACTTCACAACGTCCACTGTCTGCTGTTGTTGTGTCCTTGGACAAGACACTTAACCCCACTTTTCCCCAACTTTACCTGCTGCCATTTATTACTACTGTTTACTCCGGTCATATTCTCTGCTGTCAAAGTAATACCTCCTGCTGACTACAGTGTTTACTACACTAGCGCACTTCAACCAAAAGTGTAATTATAGCTCCAGAGTTTGTATTTTATCATCATCTATTATCTTAAATAATAGATTGCACCACTCAAACAGGATCTGAGTGCTCTTATTTCCTCATTATATTTTGCTGTACAACGATGACATTGAAATTTCCCCACTGTGGGACAAATAAAGAATTATTTTGTTGTTATTATTACCGTATAATCATGTGCTACTAGTCATTGAGTATAGCACAATAGTAAACTTACTCTTGCTCATCAAAACACAAAATTGACAAACACACACAATGATTTAATGAATAATTATATACTTTAATTGACTTTATAAGTGCTTCTATGAGAGGCTTAAGAATAGTTTACAACCATGAATAAAAAAATATAGCACATGTAAAGTAACACATACAAATATGCTACAAGTTTAGATACAAAAGACGCAAAAAAGTGCAGTGACAAAGACGGTGGCAGAGAATAATCCTTCATTTAACTTCAGCTGCCAAAGATACCATCGTGGATCCACTTTCCACCAGTGATGCAGCCTCCAAACCAAGCAGCTTACTTCACCTTTATGTGCATTTACTCTCATCGCTTCGTACAATAATTCAACATTCAAAACATTTCAATTTCACATTCCGAGACTCTCTTCGTACTTTCAAGATGTTTTTTTTTTTTCCATTAAGAAACAAAGAAAAAAAACACATAACATTAATAAAGTGGTTAGTAGTAGTTGCAATTAATCCTTCATTTTAAATAATACTAGCTCGAGTTGTGCTTTTTGAAATAGATTTACAGCTTATTTACAAAGTGACTTATCGGTTCTATAACCACATGGGCCAGGTTGCTATAATAAATCTATATACAACCTGAATACTGACACTAAATAAATATTATCAAGGTATATTTATAGTATTTACACAATTTACAGTAAGTAAAAGCTTAGTTTAAGGCTTCAAAACACAATGGGGAGAGCGTTTTCCAGATTCATGTTTAAATTATGGACGTGTCTTAGGTTTTCTACCTTTCTCCACACAGATCTTGTCATAAATGTGGAGCAAATGGTATCAGGAAGTCAACTCGGCCGCAATTAAACCCAGTGAAGGACTATAGCGCCTCCAAAGGGAATTGTTGAGTCCTTTTAACAGTCGTCGCGTTCTCTTTCTCTCTCTCACATTTTGCCGAAGCGAGTTCTGTGTTGTGACCCGTGACATGAGTTTGAGCCGAAGCGCTTGCTGTGGCTCTTCCATCGCGGCCGCAGCACAAAGTCGTAATTGTCCGTGGGGCACATGGCGTAAAACACGTTGGCTTTGTCGGGAATGTAGAGCTCTGTGGGAGAGAACACAATTATGTAATCAGATTTATCTAGTCAGAGGAAACTGAGAACAAACACTTTTTTTATTACAAACTCTTGTCCAGTACACTGAGTGACTTTGGTCTCCGGGCCCAGGCAACTGCTTTGTCTTAACAATCTCATTCTCCCAGTATGAATACTATGTGTGAACTATTCAGGGGGGTTGGGTCAGATGACATTAGACAGCGTTTATTATCATTATTGTATACAATTGTACTATTTGTATTAGCTTACTTAATTAAATGTATACTGTGAATCAAAACTTCATATTTATTTATTTTGGGGAAATTTCACAACAAAGAGAGAAAGTCAAACCAGACAATCCCATTTTCCAATTTATTCTCAGGTATGCACAACTTTGGACATTTCTACACACACAATTACTTGATAAGAGTTGAATGAATGGAAGTAAACTCCATAAGGATTTCTATTGCTTTGTATATTTCATGCAACAATTGTACCTTTATCTTTCCCACGGCTGAGAATCTGGTAGAGACCGAATTCAGAGCAGCTGAGGTTCTCCATGTTGTGTTTTTCCAAGGCTCTTTGAACAACCTGCGGTGTGTGGTCCTGGCTCGTCAGCTGACATCATAAACACACACATTAGTCCCTTACATCCAAGCTTCATGTACAGTTCACAGTTGATATGTCCTCACCAGAATGCTCTTGTACATGTTGCCGTTGCTGACGCTCTCCACACTGACCCTGATGATGCAGGAGTCGTCCACCTGTTTGTTGTACAGTGGCTGTGGGGAGGGGGCGGGGCTGTGGGCGTGGTCAGGGGAAGGGGCGGGGTCTAGGCCCAGGGATGCGGGGCTGAGGTCGGGCTGAGATGAGCTGCAGGATGAACTCGACAAACTGGGAGATCTAGACGACAAGGAGAAGTCCTCTGCAACGTTGTGAAGGGAGCCAGAGAGAGACTGCGGAGACACAGTTTGAAATTCAAAATGAGGAGGGAGACTTTTCAAATGCAGGCCTCGGTGAGAGACCCTGAATGGACCCTGAATGGATTAATGGCGGCAGTAGCTCAGTTGGTAGAGCGTTGGCCTTTGAGCCAGAAGGTCGTGGGTTCAAGCCCCGCTCAAGACTTTCACCATCGACTCCCACTGACTACTGTCGTTGTGTCCTTGGCAAGACACTTAACCTCTGGGAACACCAGCCACAGTGGGGCGGCTGCGGCTGTAAAGTGCCGTTGTGTTCTTAGGCAAGACACTTCACCCCCCTTGCCTAGAATGAGTCTGGTGTGTGTGTGAATGGTTGGTGGTGGTCAGAGGGGCCGATGGCACATACTGGTTGCCTCGCTTCTGTCAGTGTGCCCCAGGGCAGCTGTGGCTACATTAGTAGTTTATCACCACCGTGTTTGGAGTGAATGAATAATGACACATGTGAAGCGTCTTTGAGTGTCCAAAAAAGCGCTATATAAAACCGATGCATTATTATTATTATTATTATAAATGCTTTGTAATATAATAAACTACTTTAATTATTTGACATGCGAGTCCCCTCCCCATTGGTCTACCGATCTGGCTTTGCAAATCTTATTTTATAATCCTTTAAAAAAAATAAATGACTCACTTTACATTCTAGTACAAGGCCAAGTGGTCCAGCACATGACGTAAGCTTTAACTGAGGCGAGAAAGGTCTCTGAATCTAAAAGTCACACCAGGGGTTTTCTCCTTATATATTAGTTTGAAATAAAGAAGGTCATTCATGTGGAATAGTGATTTAGATCAGGGGTATCCAAATTTTTTTGTTTGTATTATAATAAGGGCTTTTCCTTTCTTATTTTCTTTTCTGTCAGACGATGTGACAGAGGCCAAAAAACAAGGTGAGAGCAAAGAACTAGTTGGATTTTAGTTGATTCAGTAAAATAATTAAATGAAAACAGAGGAAGTCCTGTACCACCAGGCGGTGCTAGTGTTCCAACAATACTGGGTGCACCACAGTTTGAGAATCAGTGGGCAAACTCCTCACCTTGAGTTTGAGCCGGAGTGGGTAGGGGTTGGGCACATTGAGCTCCTCTGAGCTGCTGGAGCCGGAGGAGCACACGCTGATCTGATCTGAGTGAGTCCTTCTCGAAGAGCCGTCACTGCCCGAACGCAACCTGCAAACGTAACAAGAGATGAGCGATAACAAAGATCACATCCAAAGGTTTCATGTAATTATTATTGGTGATTATTGGAATATAAAACTCATTAATTCAAGCTAGAAATCAAATTGTGGAGTTGAATACACATAATACAACTGAATACACAGTACTAAACAAAGTGCTTAAGAAAATACAGAGTGTTTGGGCCGGTGTGTGTGTCTAACACCCCATTGTAGGGTATTGTATATTACTCTTTGTACCGCATCAAATTTGTGTTCTGTATGTTGATAAATTGCATTGTATTCTGTGTATTAATGTGTTAATTTGTCAGAGGAGTTGGGAACAAATAATAATCCAACCCCTTTTCAAACCTGTATTAGTGTAAAGATATGTGAAATTGTGATCTGAAGGTTTGAAATAAATCAAACTAACACTTACAGAGTTATTTTCTTTGTTCGAAAGCGATGGCCCCATGAATATGGAGAATGTGGACATGGGTCAATGGGAGGCTCCAGTTCACGGGAGAGTTCATAGCTTCAAAAGGAAAGAGTAACATTTATCATTTGTATCGGTTTTTGCTGCTTCTAATATATACATAAGAGAGGTTTCTAAACTGCAAATGGCAAATAAAGTGAACCTTGAATGTTGAAATATTTGAACAAAGCCAGTTTAATAATTCTAAAGTTTCTCACCTCTCTTGATCCGTGAGCAGAGCGTGACCTTGAAGCCACTTGGTGATTTCTGCATTAACGGTGAAACTGTAGTGAGAACAAGACGCCTGGAGCTGATGAATCTGACTGAGAATCTCACACTCCTGCAACACAAATACAATCCATTAGCCAAACAACAAATACACCGTCGAAACTGCTGCAACTGTTTCAAATAACCAGTTGGTGCAGCCACTTACCCGTCTGCGTTTCTCAAAGTTGATGAGTCCGTCCTGTGAGAAAACACATGCAAATATTATGTCAATGATTAGTAGGGCCTGTCCCTGTGAAAATTAGTGATAAAACCAAACCGTTTTGAGAGCTAGGAACTAGTTACAAGGATTTTATGAAATTGTTTTTTTTTTGTGCTTTCAAAGTAATATATGCAGCGTTTCAATACATGTATGTGCTCTCACCTCCACCGTGTCATTGCAGGCAGTGTCCAGCATGGTCAGAACAGTCAGATAAGTGCCCAAATATGGAATAACACCACCGCTACTGGCCTAAAAAACATAATAAAAAGATAAAGATTGAACTTATTGGTCATTTGCAGTTAAAAACCAGTGTGCACCAGAGACAAAGACACAGAACAACAAAATAACATCACTTTTTATAATTGTAAAAAGTTTATAGTGTAATAAAAGGGTCGTAAAAGTGGTAATTCTCAGCCCATGTCACTCTGTGCAAACTAATAAACTTGAGGAAATATTTGCCCATCTCACAGTATTTATTTGTATTTATCTAGCAACAGGAACTTTACAGTAATGTAGAGTCAAGCCTCACCATCTTTCGTGGGTAGAGCTGCGGTGCTTTTAAATCGGGAGAATCATTGCCATCCTGTAAAAAACAATACAGAATTAAACAAATAATTACCAGTATTACGATTTAAAGTCAATGATCAGCTATGGGCGTGATAATGTCCTATGGCAATACAGAGCAGGTCGGACCAGCTACAATGTTGTATGTGTGCTTTTGTGCATGTTAAATGGCATACAATTGTTCATTTTGTGTTTTATTTTTAAATACAGTACGAGGATTTTTGTAGGGCGCAATCACATTAAATTTGAAACTAAACCACACAACGACAGAACCAAGTGTAAAAGCTCCCTTAAAATAAGACACTACCACAGGAAGGAAATGTCAATGTCAAACAAAAATCCAGGTTTATCAATACAAAAATGCTTTTACATTTTGGAGAAATGTAAGAACCATTGGCCAAATTGTATTATTTCAAAATCAGAATTCTTTTATTGCCATGTGAGTAACAAGAAGTCACAAACTAGAAAAATTGCTTTGGTACAAACAACACGAGAGTGTTACTGTTGCTGGTGTGTGCATAAAAAGGTGCAGTCCTTTTAGCGAGGCTGCCGTTCAACATACCAGCGACATGAACGTCTAAGTATACTGCAGTACCCTGTCATAATTTTAACTAAAGACATTTTGTACATACCTCGACAAGGATTTCTCGGCTGGTGAGCACACAGTTCTCATCAGGGAAAGTCTCGCAGAGGTGTTCGAATACAACCATGTTATCCCTAAAAACAGAAAACCAATACATTATTTAGTTGATCCTTTTTACGACTTTATTGAAAGTTTATTACAGCTTTTTTTATGGATTATGTTGTAGTCTATAATGTGATACTATTCATTTTTAAGTAATGATGATTGTGAAAAGAGAAATATTCTCAACAATTTGTGACATGACAAAAAATAGTAGTATGAAACTAAATATGTCTTTCTTTGTGTTGCTGACCTGCTGATGGCGGCCCAGGTCTTTTTGAGGCGATAGACAGCGTTGGACTGAAGCGCTGAAAGAATTGCTCTGAGAGATGAGAAGTTCTTCAACTCTCTGCAGGCCTGTGAAAACAAATAATTATATGAGAGCACCAGTTCTACCTACAACATACACACTAATACGTGACATATGAGTAGTTAAAAGAGTATTATTGAATGATTATAGGCATCACATATTGTGCTCATCTCAGCAATAATGCATTGCATCTGTGGAGCCTGATATTCTAATGTAGAATCACATCTAGAAAGACCAGATAAGCATTTTCTATACATCTATACATAAAAGACATCTTTATACAAAAAGATGAGAGGACAGATGAAACTTTGAGTGGATGATGAGAAGGGGGAAAGATTATAACTACAGCTTTTACTATTGTCTTTTTGCACAAAACATTCCTCTTTAACTGAATACAATACATGTTTCATTTTTATCACTGTGCAGCACTTGGATTGTGGATTGGATACAATAGAGAGGGTTTTGTGTTGGGTTTACCTGGGCCACAGCGATCCACCTCTCGATGACGTGAGCTCTGTGGGTGGCGTTGGTGTGAGCGGTGCGGGGGGAGACCGGGCTGGAGGAGGGCGAGGAGAAGGAAGCAGACGAGCGAGGAGACACATTTGGCGAAGATGAGGAGGAGGTGGAGGAACAGGAGGAGGTGGAGGAGGAGGAGGTGGAGGAGGGAGTCCCAGGACACAGCAGAGAGCAAATGACGCAGTTGGTCACCACGTTGAACTGAGAGATGGTGGCGCGGACGGTTGGAGCGAGATCTCGGTTTTCCTTCTTGTCGCGCTGTGACCAGACGCAGCCGAGGCAGTGAAAAGGTCTGACTTTGACAAACAGCTCCTGCAAAACGATTTAAGAATAATTAAAGCAAATCAAAACAACTGTAAACTATGTAATACAAGGCTACATGCACTGGTCTCTCACTCCCAGAAAAGTTTGGTTCCATCACTAGTTTTCACATGTATTATTTTTACTCAGTCACATCTTTGGATCAGCTTTTTTAGACAGAAAAGTGAAAAAAGGGCCACTCACTTAACCAAAAGCGTCAAATATTGACTCAAAATTCTAATATCCCCATAGAGAAAGTAGTTCTAGTAATACATTTGATTCATCAATCAATGAGCAGAGAGATTAGGTTTTTGATCCTAAGATCTAATAGTGTGTCCTATTTAGGTTTTGAAATTCAATTTATCTTTACCAGCAATTTCTCGTATAAAATCCACCTGAGATTTTGAGAGTCTGGTTTGAGGACAGGTCTTACCGCGTCCAGTCGGCTCAGCTGCTCTGCAATCGCTCTCGTAGGAAAGTCCATGACGCTTCTGTGTTTCCCCGAGTCGTCCAACAGCTCCTCGAGGTACGGGTCACTGAGCTGCAGCGATGACACGTGGGCGCAATCTTAAAGACAAAGGGAAAGATTAGGATCAAAACTACACAGTTTGGAGCGCATATGAGGCTAAACCGTTATGTTATACAAGATCATTATGTTGAATTTCTCAAAAACAGGAGGAGTGAGTGCTACAGGGTCCAGATGTTAAAAACGTAAAGTAAAATCAGGTGCTCTTCAGGATGAGAAATGGCATAGCAAACAAAGACACCATTTCTGTGGAAAAGTAAGCATAATCAGAGTGCCTCGGATATCACCCTGTGTTTACTTTTCCACAGAAAGGTTATCTTTGTTTGCTAAATTATGTTGAATTGTTGCTTTCTGACATTACAATTATCACGCCAAGGCCTCCTTGTAACACAACATATTCTATTGACACAAACAAATACAAAATCCTGTTATTTGTACTGAATGGTTTACCACATTTTTATTATGAATTCTGAGTCTCCCCAGTGTGATATTGAAATAGAACTTCTGTTTCACTCCTGGTAACACTTTTATGGTTATAATGGTTGAACTTGTCTTCCCAAACTGCTTTCTACAAAATCTACAGACAAACAAAAGCAGTGTAAAGGCTTGTGCTTCGTCACCTTGTTCCTGGAGTTTTCTGAGGAGGTTTTCAGCCGTTTGGGCCAAGCGTCGTAAATAGACCCGGCGCTTGAGTCTGGAGCAGAGCAGCTTCAAAGACTGGTATAGAGGCGGTTCTTGGAAGTCCTCACTAAAGTCCTCAAGCCACAGACGGATCACCGGAGACAGACCACTGAAGCAGAGAAGAGTCCAGAAGAATAAATATTACACTTTTCCTACATTGTGTTTAGAATGTTAAATTGTGTAGAAATCAAACAAACTGAGCAAGAAATTACTAAAATGCACTTATAGCATCAGCCTTAATGCGGTAGAGTGATTTAAACAAAAGCTAGCTGGAGCCCTGTTCATATGGCCATTTCTTTGTTAACAGGCGTTGCCAAGACAGTTGCTATGGCAAACTGGAGTTTCCCCACAAATGAAGGCACTTGATTGAACAATTCTTATACGGCTCATATCTGGATTTACAAAGAAAATCTAAATATAAAACCACAGGATCTGAGAAGAGCGCTAAACCTAAAAACCTAAGACACAAACTGTTGCTGAGCTAGAGGGGATTATTTTTCAATGTCAGACAATAGGAGCCAGAGTGTGTTGGAGCAAAACTTTATCCATGAGCACTTCTCAATTGGGCTTCATTGCGCTTGTGGGTTAGCATTGTCCATCTCTATGCAGTCTATGGCCAAAACTAGCCAAAACCTGTCCATCACTTTCTATTGTAAGGATTTTTCATTCCAGACAAAGGGGGAAGAGGGATGTGTTTGAGTCGCTTTGTCCCGGACGCATGGACAGAGCTAAAAACAACTCCAGGTGCTTTAAACAAGAGTACTGTGACATGAATTCCTTTATGTGTCCTTTAACAGACTTCACTCACCTGCGATGGCAGAAGGTGTTATCAGAGCTGACCATGCAGTCGTCCCTGTGCAAAAGGAAAAACAAACCATTTGAAAACAGTCATAAATTCAGGAGGAAACACTTGAACAATTGAAAAGTAAATGTTCTGCAAACATCCTGAGGAAATGCCCCGTAACAGTCAGGCCCAAAGACAACAATATACTGTAGGCTCAAGTTTTGAACGGGACAAAAAAGATTAAAACTACAGACACAAATGGAGATAAACCTAATCCTTTCATTGAACCATCTCCTGTTTATTGAACATTTACTGTATATGTGTAATCAGGTGAAAGCAAACATTTACACTGACGACTATTTGTTCACGTTCATAAACTATTCTAAATAATACGGCTAAACTCTGAAAAGTACATTTAACTAAGGAATACAATTATAATATACAATATAAGTTAAAAGGTACAATAGCTAAAAAAGATGAGAGAAATTCAAAATCACTGCAAACTTGTATTATTATATATTTATTATTAGGGAAACAAAATGGTTATGCATAGCTCCTATATCTGTGAATAGACAGTGTGATAATTCCAAACACGTGAATCAACAAAATAATGTGTTACACTGGAGTGACAAAGCAATGGAATAACATAATTACACGTGACCTCGTTCCGTACATTTACCTGCGTAGCCAAGTGTCTTTATGACCGAAGCATTTCAACGATAATCTCTTTGTTATCTAGATAGAACATAACTCTCAAACGTCGCTGAACACTTTGTTGCTGAGAATAAATCTATGACGTCATCACGTTGTCAAGCTAAACAAACACGACTCCACCTTTGCACCTGGGACCTGCCCGTTCTATTTAAGGCCACTTTATTTGTACAGCACAATTCATACGCAAGTGAAATCATAAATAATCACATTTACTTAAGACGAACAGATACGGACCACAGCATATTTCAAGATCAACTGTAATGTGTTAATAATAATAATAATAATAATAATAAATCAAACTTATATAGCGCTTTTTTGGACACTCAAAGACGCTTTACAAAACACATAGAAATAAACATTGAATAACAAAATTAAATAAAGCCAAGCTGAAACAGGTGGGTTTTGAGAAGAGATTTAAAGTTCTGTAGTGAGTCTGAGTTTCTGATTGGTTGAGGAAAAATCTCTGAAGTTAAATTACAGATGTGTGTGGGATCAGAGGTGGGCAGTATTTACGTGTACATGTAGCATATACTTTTGATAATAAAAATGCACCAAGATAACACAATTTTTTTTCCGAATCTTTTGCAGTCAATGTAGTTCACTCTCAATTAAATTATACAATTTGTACAATATGTTTTATATATCTCCATTTCCATGTGTCCATTTGTGCCATTATTAAAAACTAAATTATTTCTCAATGTTTGTTTATTTTATCTCTTGTTTTTTTGTGTTGCTACCGACAACAAGACTTCGACAAAAGAAGCCCTGAAGATGAATTTCAGTCTTTTGTGCAGCATTGAGCCTGTATCCATTTCCCCTCAGTGGAACAAATGAAGGTTCTTGTCTTAAGTAACATTGAATACGACCCATTCACTCTTTCAGCTGTTCTGCTTTCACGTGTTTACCTATAAACACCTCCTGATGTCCCGATGCGGTGAGGAAACTACTAACATTGTGCTGAGGCGCCCACATGTCTCCATCGTCCGTCACCTCTAAAGTGTTTGAAGAGTGGACGGACACTGATACCATCGAGTATCGCTCCTTTGTTATGTTTAACATCATGTCCTGATCTTTAAGTTGATGTAAAGAGACATATTTACTCCCTGATATGAACCCAGAGAAGAACTCAATTCTGTTTCTAAGAATTTGACTCAATATCTGTTTTGATATCACAGCTCATGTAAACATTAATAACAGTACAACATTATATTACTTTACAAGGGCACAAGGGCAAGAGATAAAAGATTGAGATACAAGCTCTGGGATGAAAATCCTAAAAACAAATGGAGAATCTCAGATTTGGTCAATTTTCTGTTATTATTTTTCTTGAAATTTAAGTTTATGTTATACTTTTTTGTACCCATGGGGAAATGCATTTGAAAACCCCGGTTGCTCAAATGTGTTATACGTTAGCTGTGATTTGAAGAGAAGACATTTTGAGTTCCTTCACTGGTATCGTTTCCATCAGGCATCAGAAGATACCGAAACATATCAAGATCTTTATCGATATGTATGTGAAAAAATATGAATTGGTGAATCACTATGTTCCATGATACTAACATTACAAACAAAGCCTTGGTTTGGTATCATTTTGATAATTATGACTTTAGATGTTTTGAGTTTTTACAAACTGTGAAATTAGCATCAGAATCAGAAATATTTGTACTGCCATTGTAAGTAGCAGGAAGTCACAAACTTGGAATTTGCTTTGGTATAGGGTGCAAACAAGTTTTAAAAAAGTAAAAGATAGACAAAACGTAGCTGCAGCTCACCTCTGAAACAGCAGCTCGATGAGTGAAGTGGAGGAGGTGAAGGCCCGGTACGTGGACAGAAACACCCGAGCAAAGTCCGGCTCTTGGTTTTCATGATCCAGAAGGTGAGAGACGAGCCGCTCCAGCGAGGCCGCCTTCAGCCTGCGCAGCTTCACCGTGTGGTACTGCGAGAAGCTGAAGACCGCAGAGTCTGGAGAGTCCGGACTCTGGACCACGGGGTCTCGACGGAGGGTGATCCCAAACACCGCTCCATCCTCCTCCTCCTCGCCCCACTCCTGCACTGGGTCCTGCAACACACACATATTAACACATAACTCACATACTGAATTTCTCCATTGTGAGATCAATAAAGTACATCTTATCTTACAATCAAACTACTTCAGGAGTGTTACATTTGGTGACAAGAATAGATATATTACACACAATTATAGGGAAGATTGGCCAGTGGAACAAGCAAAAATATGATTACAAATATATAATAAAAACAAGCAGTTACGAGATAGAATGAGAATATAAATTGTGCGGCATAGGTAAAAGATACTAGTGCCATTTGGAAATCTTTGTTGCTTTAATTGTTATTATCCTTGCAGCACTACTTCAGTGCATTGGTAATTTTGGCAAGTTCATTTAAAAGTCTGTATGGAAAATTTTTGTTTTCACTGGAAACTTTATTTGGAAATGTTTTATTTTTTCAGTTTAAGAGTAAAAATTATGAACTATAATAGTATTGACAGACAAGATCCTAAATATACAAAATCATTATTCATTTTCCCTCTCTATATACCATCTACACCATCACTAATTGATATGCCGTGACCAAGCACCAACAATAGTCTTTTGTCTGGCCAAAAACAGACATGAGGCCTCTGCGTAATTGTTAATTTTTATACAATTGACTGGTGTAGGAGAGTTAAACAAGAACCAAGACAATGGACAGAATAAAACCAGACTAAAACCAGGTCAAGTGTGAATGCACCGTAAACATGTGTTTTCAATTTGGCTGTTTTTGTTTTACGCAGTCAGCTCAGATTGAAATAACAAATAAATGCAATCAATTTCTTAAAAAACAAACAATTGTGAGCTCTTAGAGTTAGAGGAGTGATACACACATGAGTGCCTAATTTACTGTAATTTATTGTCAATGGTACTTGGGTGTTTAAGTAGCTTTTCCAATGTCTGTAAATTCTTGAGGTTTGGAAACTTTGGTGGAAACTAGTTTTATTGACATCCATATGTTTCATGTAGAGAAAAACTGAAAAAAACTTCTACAAACTGAGAGGAATCAACACTATATAGTCAGATTCTAAGACACTAAAGAGGAGTTGGAAGAAAGGAGTGAAACTTTGACCGTTGGCTATGTCTCATGCAGGCGTTATGTAACCGTAAACCAAACCAATCATTGTATGACCAGTGAAACCAGTGCGTTGGGAACAACTATAAGAGCAGTATCAACAAAAGCCTTAATATAATGACACTAGCCTCTGGGCAAAGCACCAAGCAGTTTCACATGTCATGCAATTCAACAGAATAGATAAAAAGTGCCTTGACACATATAAAAATGCTCAGTACATACAGTAAATATGGCTTTTGCAACATACAATAAAAAGTCAAAAGCAGACATGAACATTGTAGGACTAATGTATCTTTGTTTAACAACAGATGCATGTTACCTACCATTGAGAACTGCCATTTATCCATAATATCTGGAATTAATGAAGAATTGGAGCAACGACTATAATTATGGACACATTTCAGAGTTTTTGTTGTTCAAATCCAGGAAACGTGAACCGTCCATTTTTAATAACGATAGAATAAATACATGCGTTTAAGTAGTAGCTTTGTTTTTGAATGAGGAAGGTAAAGTGAAGCAGTGAATGTCCGAGAGACAGGTGAGCAGGAGGCGGGCCTAAGAGGCAGGTGGGGGTGGGGCTAGTGAGAGGGCAGCCAATCAACAGTGAGGAAAATGTGGCACGAGAGACACAGAGTGGACTTTAGTGATAAGCTCGATGCAGTGCTGTACTAAGGGCTGGTAAAGTCTTTGAAAAAAAAGATAATTATCTATTTAGACTGAAGAGGCCGTATGTGGAGCCATGTCCTAGCTACAAAAGTACAAAGAAAAGCAATTAAGTACACAAATAGTAACTTTTATTAGACGTTGGGAAATTATGATTTTTGGGTTTTGTCAATAAGTGAAAACTATCGCCACAAGCAGAATTGTCACCGCCACATTTTGAAAATAAATATATTTAATAAAAGTTTCTAAATAAAGTATCATATGGGAAAAAACATTGAATAAACAGTACATAGGTGACGTTTTTATCATTCTTTGTGTATTTTTTATGTGTTCTGATTATAAAGTGGATGTCCTCTATTCTATACAGTTAGAATATGGATAATTAGTCAAAAAAAAAAAAAAACTCAAATCTAACTAGATCATGATCAAAGTATAACCTCACTGAGCCACAATCATTGATTGAATAATGTCAATCAAGTAAATCTAATCGTTACAATCTTGCCTTTCTTGGGCTAAAACCCTTTAGCAGAAGTTCACAGCACCAGGATATCCCCAAGTCATATTTTGGCAGAATCAGCCATCACTAAATGACACATTTTATGCGTACATATGACCTGTCCTGTTGACAGTATAAACATGATCGTGTTCAGCGCTTCGGAATCCAGACGGAGCAGTTTTCACAGATTTTACCTGTCAGTAGTTCTTCTCATGCTGTCAGGGGTGTGGAGGGAACATACCGCCTCAAACAGGTTTATCAGCCTTAAAATAGCTCCAGCAACTTTGATTTTAGCGACAGGGACAATTACAGCCCCTTACCACATTCTCACCCATTTCAATATTATGTTAAAAGTTTTGATGGCTAAAGATGGCTTCTTACTAAATAGAAAAGACAGAAAAGTAATTAATAAGGGTGTGACAATATATCGTGATACTTTCTCCCACGATTCGATTATCGATATGCATTTGCCAAGTATCGATATAGACTTTTTTTTTATTTTTTTATTAGTACTGTATCAATACTTCTTATATATGGCTACATCACGCATCTCCATTCCATTTATCATGAAATAAAGGGTATTTTTTCACTTAACATTTTTCTTTTATTTATGCCATAAATTGACATATGGTATATTTCTGACCAATATATCGATAATCGTCTTATCGTAATAAAATCGTTATCGTGATATTATCGTTATCGTGATATTATCGTTATCGTGAGCTTTGTATCGTGTATCGTATCGTGAGGTACCCTTAGGTTCCCACCCCTAGTAATTAATGCGCTTATGTTAATTTGATAGATATGTTCGATCCATAAAAGTGACCAAATTATTGATCAACTCCATATCGTCAACAAATATGATATAAATACTAAAATACAATCTGTAATTCTCTAATTTAGGGCAATACCATCATCTCAACAATAGCATTTACACTCTAAGGTTTCAAGATTTGTTGCATTCAAATAGAAAGTGGCAGCAGTTTGCGAACCACAAAGACTGCAATTATTTACATCAATCCCTTCATTAACAGAAAACGATCTTGCATATTACATAATACTAACTATCCCCATGTTTGGAGCTCTGAAAGACAAAGATCACAGCAAATGTCTAAAACAGGCCAATTAAAAGCCTGAATAAAGCAGTATTTCTCTAAAGGTTTAAAATGTTCTCTAGGGTTGATATGTATTTCATTTGCAAAAGGGAAAAGGCAATTTTTAACTCACTTTGTTTAAAAAGGGGGCAACCTGCAACTTTTTATGTGAAAGAAATTTGATACTTTTGCGTATTTGACCATGATGCCCTTTATTTTCCATCACAGTGGTCTTGAGGATGCTAAAGGATCAGTGGTTCGGAAGGCCGTCTCTACTGACGGACCCCAACACCAGAAAAACTACAAAACAATTGATCCTGGAGCCACTGGGTCACTACAAGATCAAAAACGCAAAAACATACACTTTTGAAATAGAAGGTTATGGTCAAGGTCAAGGTTATTTAAAAGCACATTCTAAAAAACAGGAATTACTGTCGAAGTGCTTTCCAGACATTACAAAATACAAAACACAAATAAAATAGGAACTTGCATAACGCACCTACATTACAGTGGGATATTAACTACAAACTACGACTGTTTTTAAGGTTTTGGTTTCACTCCAATTTGAATTATCCAAATTCACTTTGCACATTTTCTGGGCTTCATAACAGAAATCACAAATTGAATGATAATTGGATTTTTTTTTTATTTTTTTAAATCAGCCATAATTGAGAGCCGTGTTTTTTTCCATCTACTGCACAAAATACCATTACACATGCATAATAATACAATAAAGTCATGGGATAATCCAAACAACGGCCAAGATATACATTTTTATATCCAGAAATATAACTGTTGAAATGTAATTGTCACTCTACAACACTACAATCACAAAGAAATGTGTGTTTAAGAAAGTACTAAACCAGGGTTAATGAGTATCAAAACATGTACTATTAAGAACTTTAAAAATGGCAGAAATATAATAAAACACAAAGCCGTTTGTAACAAGTGAGGCTAAAATTAGGGCGGACCACCAGAGCTGAGAACCACTGCTTTCTCAATGGGGTTTTGTAAACAATTGACACGTTTGTTTCACTAATGAGTTTTTCTCCATAACAAAAATGCCCCGTCAATCTACAAAGAACCGGTGAAACGCTTCATCATTAGGGTCAATTAGACACATGAATAATCTGCAGCCCAAAGGGAGCACACAGGAACAACTCGGACAAAAGACTCAGAACTTGAACATTTTCCTAATCACTGTTCCAGGTCAGTGAAGTTGAGCCGCTGAAGGTTAACAATAAAATTGAAAGGATGAAGGGCAGCCTTTAATATAATAGTTCCTCGTTCTCAAAACAGTTTGGTTTAACAGAGACTTCCTCCTACTCATCTAGAAGAATCCCGAGGCGTTCAGACCAGCTGAGAGATATAGTTCCTCCCATGTCAACTCGTCTATAGAGCCTTCTCCTGGTGGGACATGCCCAAAACACCTACCCTGGGAGGCATCCGAAACAGAGGCCAAAGCTATCTCAGCAGGTTCCTAGTTCAATGTAGAGGAGCAGCAACTTCAATCGATCTTGATTGTAATTGGATTGATCTAATTGGAAAGCATTGCTAAATATAGAAGATATATATAGGTTCATTCTTTTGGGCATTAGTCAGAGCCCATAACTATAAGTGACCCATCCATCCATCCATTTTCTACCCTTTAATCCATTTCTGGGTCAGGGGGGTGGCAGTCAGAGATGCCACCCAAGTCTCATAGCACCAGCCCCTCACTGACCCTCTGCAGGTGGTGAGTCCACAGGAGGACGGCTGCTCTCTGAGTGTGAGCATAGCCTTGATCTTTCAGTGGGGGCTTTGGGCAAAGTGGGGTTAAGTGTCTTGCCCAAGGACACAACGACAGCAGTCATCAGTGGGAGTCGGTGGAGAAGGTGCAGAGGTGGGAATTGAACCCACGACCTTCTGGCCTTAAGGCCAATGCTCTACCAACTGAGCTACTGTCGCTTAGCCTGGATTTAGCCAGGATTTAGCCTGGGCTTACCACACCTTACATCTTACTCATTTCATTTCGTACATGTAGGGACATGATAATTGACTGGAGTTTACGGATGGCTAAGGTCAGGCTAGCATTAACCTAATTAATCTATGGTCAACCAAGATGAACTTTCTCTTTCCCCCAGAAACTGGTCACATGGCAGTTTCTGGAATTTTGTTTGATAAAATTCAGTGTGAAAGATTTAAAGCAAACCAGTAACTTCATGCACTGTGGATTCAGGGCAACAATATATCATGTGTTGTCAATTGGGTGTGAGACATAGATAAGAAAGGCATTTTGTGCAGTTCAAAGTGAGCGATGGTTTTGCTGTTAAGTAAAACTGGAAAAACACAGGAGCGCGTGAGGAATTTGTCAGGTGATAAAAGGAAGTCCTGTGCTATTGGTCGATGCAAACTTTGAAAAAGGCATTTTGTCATCACCTCATATTCTGTCTTTTAGAGCACGTTCGCAATCAGCGTGCTTTGCCTCCACTTTATCCCCACAATATTTCCATCAATTGTACAGAATTTGAATGTGCTTTGCCTTCGCCTTTGTACTTTTATGTCAATATAAGCAGCGTTTGTGAGTAGACTGCACTTCAGGCCTTTGAAACATGGGGCGTGTAGAGCGTTTTTGTAACTGTTTGAATCTGCGTCACATAATTAAATTGTATTGAAATTTGAGACAAAAGTTGGAGTCCTGAAACCTAATAATAGATTAACACAACTAAAATCAATAAAATATGTCAAATGAAGCCTGGACTCCGGAAGATTTGCCGCCTAAAGGGTTTACCACTTAATCAAGGCAATTATACCATAATCAGCTTTTTAAAATCTAATCTGAGTGACTTTATGAGTTTATCGCTTCAACTCTACTTTCTTAATTGTATTATTTATTTATTTTTTAATGGTGGCTCATCACTGCCCTTATGACCGTCACTTTAGGCCAGTGTTTTTCAACCAGTGTGCAGTGGAACATTAGTGTGCCTTGAGATGTTATTCCGTGTGCCTTGGGGAATGATCCAATATCACCTACTTGGTCAAAAAATATAAAAAAAAAAAAAAGAATTAAGATTCTAAATACTCCTATGCACTCCTCTGATTTTCTATACTATACATTTTGATGATAATTACTTTGTTGTTAAGAAAGGCTGTAGAATAACATCAGTTTGTATCAGTTTCAGCTGGTGGTGTGCCATATCATTGTTTTAATGCCACGGTTCAAAAAGTTTGAGGAACAGTGCTTTAGGCGACTATCACTTTACAACACTACTAAATGTGTATAGTAATTTTATGAAATGTTATGTAGATTTTTTTCTATGCATGCCTTATTCTATTTTCACTTTTATAACTAGTTTGCACCGAGAGCCAAAGCAATTTCCTCGTTTGCGATTTCCTGTGACTCACAATGGCAATAGAAAAATTCTGATTCTGATTTTGAAAAGCAGAGATACAATCAAAGTCAAAAGTGACACATGAAGGGTGCGATGTTGGTGCGTACCTCATGCTCTCGGTCTATATCCAGAGACTGAAACCTCCGGAGCCAAACGCCCGGCTCGTTGTTTGTGTGGATGTCCTGAGTGACGTATCTCCGGAGCCTCAAATGCCGTCTGACGCGCTCCACTTTGCTGCGGAGGTCCCGGGTCTCTCCTGCAGAGCCCCCGCACACAGGCAGCACGGTCCTCATCTCCCACGCACCGTCAGAGCCGCGTCGGACCTCCCACACACCTGCTGCTCCATCTGAGAGGAACCAGAGCCAATCACGCACTTATGAAACCCTTTACCACACTACGGACAGCAGTGGATTTTAATGAGATTATTTGCATTATGGATATATACACGCTGAGTATATAAAAGATATACACAGAATAAGTTTTAATTATTCACTTTTTTGTCTTGATTCGAGTACATTCTGGAGGTAAATAAGATTTACCATGGATAGAACAAAGAAAGAGAATAATATTATCCACGAAAGAAAAAACGTTCAAGCAAAGCATTCTTCTGCCCAATATTATTCTTTGATACGTTGTTTTCATTGGTTCGTTTGTGGGCATAATAAATCACCAGTGAATGATCTTGATTTCAGGACAGTTCCTTCATTTTGAATCTGATTTAATTTGATTTCGAGACAACAGAAGAAGTGGTGACTGATCTGATTAAGCAGGACATTGACGTAAATGACTTGAATGTTGACCTCTTTAGGACAAAACCATGAAATCAACCACATTCATATTCCATTAACCTTTTGTGAGAACATGTCTATCACACGTTCTGTTGAAAAACATTCAAAAATTACAATAATGATGAAAATAAACAGCTTGAATACTAAATAAAGACAACACATGATATCTGCTCAGCTACTTTTTACAGTAAATTTGGGGGAAATATTCTTATCCAAATGATGCTGTCAAAACAGTTAGTAATGGAACTGATTCAAAAATAGTAATGGATAATTGAAAACTCTCTAGGAGCAATATTGTAATTAAGCCAGTTGATAAATGTACCACGATAGAAGATAAGAAAAGAAGGTCACTTACAGAAAAAGCCGTCGTGAGTGTTGAAGCCGGCTTATCGTACTTGTTCAGCTGGAAGGAGCTGCAGATAGTGAGCACACAGGCGGTATGCAGTTGGATTTGTTCCTGGCATTCATCAGAGGAATGGTTGTTCCTCGTGTTTGTGGGAGGAGGAGGCTGCAGCTCTGAGTAATGTGTATGTGCATGAGCATGTGTACGTGTATATGCTGGTGGGCGCCTGCTCCTGACTGTGTGAAAGTGCACTGATGTGTGCCATGATGTCAGTCTTTCTGACATCTGACATCCACCCTGTCACTCTTTAGGTGATGAGTAGTGACTAAATGCACGCACTGAGAAAACGTAGATGTATTATGGCTCCACTCAACATGTGGGAACAGCGGCTCTACTCTAAGCTCCTGCAGTGTGACTGGGGTCCGTGCCTCTCTGAAAAGCCCCCAATTCCTAATTCATAATTTCTGGCAATTATATATTCAGGGGTGCACATAACTTTTTCAGTGAGGTTCTCAGATGAGTACCAGGACATGGTACTCACTCCATTTGTCACGTGGTTCTTAATCGAGATTATATACTTGCTTCTTTTTAATGCTAACGTTTAGATCAGCTCAGATAATCCACTCAATCCAAGTCAAAGAATGACTTGGCCTTTACCCAAAGTCCAAGCCACAGCTTATTGCTTAACTTCAATTAAACCATATTACTCAAGTAGAGGTATTGTGTGATAAAACCACTGTGAAAGTTTACATATTCTATGAATTCATATTATGAATAAAATAAAGTGAATAATCGAGTGGTTAAACAGCGGCCTGTAGAAGTCCAACACTTACTACTACACTCAAAAACAGAACAAAATGTGAAATTAAGTTAAAATTTGGCACGTCCACAGTCCACATACTATTAGCTGTTATCATTATAGATCCATGCTATTAGCTCATTTTTAGTTAACACTTCCGTAAACATACTTGTTGCGCACGTGTGACTGATTGACAGGATGAACTTACCGTCGGTGTCTCTAATGTTTACGGTGCGAAACATTAAGGTATTAACTAAATAAGTCGAACCTAACACGAAACAAGGTTCGTAACATCGTAACATACATATTACTCAAAGAATGTGTTTGAATGTATTGTCAGCCATATAAAAAAAAGGCGAGGCTTCAAACTCCGCGCGACAGGAAGCGTAACCCGGGGTTGGCTCTGATTGGATGTCCTAGAGAAATACATAAAAAAAATAATGAAACTGAAAATAATAATGAAATGATAATGAAAATAACAGAGAAACAGATAGAAACAGAAAAAATCGCAAAGTTATGGAGACCAAGAATGTAAAGGAGATGAGTAATTACACTTCCTAAACGAAAAGCTGTCAAATTGACTGACAGTTCCAGTTTATGTATATGTGTATGGTTACTTATAATTTTCGTACTTATTCAGTCTTCTTTCCATATTTCTGTCTGCAGTGAAATTGATGATCCAAAAAGGGCTTAGTTAAAGATGCAAGATGTGCAATCAAACCACCTTCTAACAAAAAAGGTTTATTTATAAGAATACAAAAGGTAATATTTCATTTTTAAACTGGTAAATCACGCCACACATTGTCTGATTTCACAATTATTTGTATCTCAATTAGGACTCTGATGTGTTCCCAGCAGAATTCCACACAGAAACGGATTACTATACGTACAGTTAACGAGTCAATCACAGAAATTATCCTCAGTTACTCTGCGCTATTTTAGATAACGGTATATATTCCATACAGAGGCTAATTAAAAATTGAGCTGCAAAGTGAGCGGAGTATGTAAAATCCCCAAAGGAACTTTTAAAAACGCAAATTTAAACGTTTGAAATCAAAAAGTTTTCACTATAGCTGATCGACACCAAACCAATCTTTTATAACAATTATTTTTTGAAATCACAATGGTGGTATGGGAAATGTTACTTCCTCTGCCCACATCCAACTCTATACAAAAGAATACAGCAGGATTTATGAATGAATCATAGACTGTAAAATGCATTGTTGCACAGTTTTAAATACTGGATGTTTGTGGAATATATCAGAACATTTTGGATGTAGAAAGAGCGGCATTGACATGTTTATGAGATCTCTTCCAAACATTATGAAGAGGATTCTTGTATTTATTCACTTCTTTTTCCAAGGTTTTTTCTTTAACTTGGAGTCGACGATCATCTGAGATTCTCTTTTCAGCGCCTCTCGTGAGATGGCTCCTGCTTCGTCCTCACCGCTCTCCTCTTCTGAAACACAGACACAGATGAAAGTGAAAAATACAACGATACATAAAGAAAACTCCAGTAATTCATTCAATATAATCAACATTTCTGACCGTCGTCAAACTGCTCCTGTCGTTGGTCTTCCGGAAGATGAATGCGAGTGTTTAAGGGTGGCAACTTTCCTTCAATTTTGAGAAAGAACTGCACAAAGTAAAAACACACAGTAGTCACAGGTATCTTCTGTGGCATAACTCCAGAGAGACAAAGACGTCTGTGTGTTTGTATTCAATGTTTTCTGAGCAATTAAATCTTACAGAAAAGTGCGTCACTGACATTATAAACATAATCGAATCATGATTCATAAACCCACGTGCCAAACATTCCTTCATAATCAGTGCAATATTAAAATGGTTGAATAGTGTATCCATTGTTACCTTGTCGTCATCCATTGCCTTCATCGTGGCAGAGAGGTCTTTCTGCGGGAGCTCTTTGTAGAGAGACTGTAGCTTCAGTTCACACTTGCTCAGCAGATCCACCAGCTCCGAGTCTGTGGGCGCGGCGTTAATGGCGGTGGTGTCTACGGTGGTGGCATCCACGGCGGTGGCGTCTAGGGCCTTGATACAAAAATACGTAAAAATACACAGATAAGAAATGTCTACAGAACAAATATGCTAGAGAGATATACTAGATACAGATAATATACTAGAAATACATACTAGTATTATATTTTCTGGTTGAAAGTAAAAGTATTAAAACCGCAGAGTGTGTGTGGGTTGTTTGTTGTGTGTGTGTTTTACCGGGGTGATGTGTTGGAGTTTGTCTGTCAGGTGCTCCACTCCGGCCTGGACAGTGGTGAGAGTCTTGTCCAGAGCGCTCACACTCTCTTTGGCCTCTTCACACCTCCTCCGAGCGGACTGCAGCTGCTGCTCACAGTCCTCCAGGACGCTCTGATCCCTGCACCATCACAGAGAATCCTCTCATCATTCACAGGCTGGCCTGGTAACTCATTTTTACAAATTATATATTGTTTCTGACAAAAGTACAATTGAGCAGGAGGATCTCAGTAAAGGATATCAAATGTATATACTCAAATAAGGGGGGAAAAATAAGCAACAGAAGTAGTTCATATTTAGCCATATTTAGCCTCTGGGCCTCTGCAGCTAAATAGCTAGATATTTACCTTGCTGCTATTGGAAAGAAATTGTACTGATATATTGCTCTATAATGCTTCTAAAAGCTGTGGTGTGGGTTGTGATAGTTACGTGGATATTTTTCCTTCTCCAGAATATTTTTTCTCTTCAAACTGTTGATTCAGCGTCTCTTTCTGCTCCTTCAGCTGAACCAAAGTGATTTTATTTTTCTCTGACAGTTTCTCCAGATGCTCGTGGATTCCTTTCTGTGTCACAAACCGCTCTGCAATCTCCTGGAGCGACTGAGAAAGAAAGGCCATTTTCAGTACAATTGTCAAATATCCAATAACCTTTTTATGTGAGAATGTATTGGTTTTACTGAAATAGGTCACATTAATATAAACTATTACAATAATAATAACTGGAAGGCAGGTGCCGTTACAACTCTATGAGAAGAGTGGAAAAAGAAAACACTCATATTTTTCTAGATCATAATTTGATAGTGAGGAGATCCACAAACCTATCATCCTTTATACTGGCCAAGAGGTTGAACTTTCTGACAGTTGTTTCATGTCGATTGGCCCAGGAATTACTGCCAATAAACCGCTACTAATTCTTTGAACCCTGCGGCTTATATAGCAATGATGCAAACATGTGTATTTTCATTGAGTTTGACTCAAGCTTTAGTAGCAACAGGACACTCGTTAATTGTCAAAATATTTACTAGGCTACTACAGGCTATTTACCAGTGTACTGTGCTCTTAAGTTGTAATCATTAAATCATGTTATGACCAGTTAAAACAGTCATCTATCTTCTATATTACAACATAAAAACTGGGGCTTATATTCAAGTTTCTTTTCAAATGTTGCTGGTGCGGTTTATATACAGGTTAATAGTCCAGAAAGTATGGTACAGAAAAATAGCTATAAACTACAAAGCATTTTGTAATGTTGTGATGAATGAATGCAACCTATGTGTGCTATTCTATAATGAAATATAATACACCTGCAGGTTTATATTAAAATCCAAATGCAACAGGAGACTCCAAACACTATGTTTCGGACAGCTACCCTGTGAGTTACCTGGATGTTGGTGACTCCTGTTGCCTCTTTGATCTGTTGTAAGACGTCCTCAAACGTGGAGATGGTTTTATTGTCGTCTCCTGTGGTCCCGGTGTTGCTGCGCTGAGCCTCACTCAGGTCGTCGGGCTGCAGGGCCGCCATCCTCTGTGCCTGTGTGATCATGACTGAAACCACTATTGAGGCAGGAAAAAACTAAACACTTGATTGACTAATAGATTTGAAAATCAATTAGAACAGAAAATTCCCCAGACCCTGTTTTCCTCTTCTCAAAAAGCTCAAGCTCCTTCTGTATAAGACAGGTGTACATCAATTTCTTGTCAATTTCTCTCCACAAACATTCATCAACTCCATAGTAAACTTCTCTCCCATTTTGTGGAAAAGATACTATGATCTTCAAAAGTATTATGTGAAGGAAAGAGAGCAAAAGAGTGAATGTTACCCTTCGTTCCACTTTTTCTGCCTGCGTTTTCTGCTCTTCCACCTTGTTCCTGTAGCATTCTCTCTCTTTACGATCTTTGTAGATTAGTTCCTCTCTTTGCTGCAGCCGAGCCTGGACACAACATGAGAAAAATGACTAAAGTAAAGCATTGAACGAGGAGTCACATTATGCTGCTTTGATGATGACTTGAACTTACCTTAGCTGCCTCTGCAGACATTTGAGCTTCACGGTTCATAGTTTGTAGGTTTAGAAGTTCCTCTCTGTGCTTCAGGATTTCTGCTTCGAGACTGTCCAACTGACCCTGGAAATCCAGACTTTCTTCCTGTGGCACAAAGAGACATTTCGAAAATAAAAAGGCAAAGTTATGACTTCACACCGACCTACAAAATTGTTCTAATCTACTTATAATTGTCATCTCAGGGATTTCAATAGGGTGGCGTCCATGTGACACCACAACGTTCCAAGGACCGTAGAGTTTAAAATTGTGGGGGAGGGAGGCTAATAAATTGTTCCTGGTAACTATGACCTGGGAAACCATCTATTTTTACATTTTATAATTTTTTTTTTTAAAAGTCTTGTATTTGCACCTATCAGCTCTATCTGAGCCTTTCACACACCTTTTTCCACATCCCATTCATTCACTTTTATAATCAAACACCATTAATTTCATTCAAAATTATTCTAAAATAAAGTAATAAAGAAGAGAGACCTGCAGCTGATTTTTGAGGGTGAGGTAGTTCCAAGTGATGCTCTCTGCTTCCTTACATTTCAGCTGAGTTTTCTCCAAGTTATTCTCCAGTGTTCGCAGTTTCTAAACACACATTTACAAGATGACAGGAAGAATGCAAATGGACTTGGTAAACACATGTTTTGTAATAATAACCATAGAGTCTTCTTCTCTTTTCTTCAGGTCTGCAGTTTTAGAGCTGTGCATCAGTCTGTCATATTCTTTGCTCAAGTCTGTGACGCGCTGCTGCAGAACCCCCGTCACGTGCTTTTGGGCATTCAGACGCTTCTTTTTGGATTGCAGTTTCCTCTCCAGAGCCACCAGAGCAGTCTGTGTTCAGAATAACGAAACATTCCAACGTAATGTTATGGATTTGCGTGTTTGATTGAAGTGATAATGCGCCCTTTACCTTTCCTGACATGTTCCGGAATGCATCTTTCTCTGGGACATTATCCAAGTGATGAAAAGCTCCTTTAACAACATGTTTATCACCCTACAAATATAAAACAATGCAGACACGGTTATTGGTTCGCAATGAAGCCCACTGAGCAGCAGACTCACATCAGCGGCCACTGCTTGCTTCTTGTACAGTTTGGTGTTCTCCTCTCTCAGCCGCAGGATCAGCTCTCGGTTCTTTTTGATGGAGGCTTCTGAGCTCTCATAAAATGCAGTTCTTTCGCCCTCTGGTGGCGACAGCCGTGAATTATATGTATGTCAAACACAGTAACGATACTTACATACACGATCAATGATCAGCCATTCTCTGGGCCATTAGCCATTTAGTAAAGTTATAGCTATAGTTAGCTATCGTGTGGATGGTGAAGGTGTCATATTTATCATGACTTAAACCAACCCAGACAACCTAACGTAAGGCTAGTTAAACTACACAAAGTTCGAGATATAATGACATAAACATTATAATCACCTAAAAGTTGAATCTTCCGCTGAAGCTCCGTGATCTGTTCACTCAGAGGTGGGCTGCAGGCCTCTGCGCTGAGCGGCATGTTTGTAGTTTATTTTCACATCTGCAGCTTTTAGCTCAAACTAAACCTGCTCAATGTTGCTAAGCAACGAGGCACAAACCCAGAACGTTAGAGCACGCCCAGCGGCCAAGACACCTCACTGCAGCAAGACAAAAAACACTAAAATTCTATTTATTAATCCCAATTTAAATGAATTATCTGTAGAATTAAACAACCCGGTTTTAGAAAGTGGCATTTTAATGAGTAGAAAAAGAAGAACAGTACAATACTGCAAGGATAAATTAAGGCACTTTCTGCCATGTGAAATGTCATAACGCCATGTAGGTCCTCATACTTTGTTATCTTTCTACATAGAAACATTTCAGCTTTGGTAAGTGGTCAAACAGTGCAAAGACGCTGTTAAAACCTACACTATATAATTCATTAGTGGGTACATTACTATGACCTGCATAATTAGACTGCATGGCAGTATGCACAAACACATGTAAACATACCAACAAATAAAACACAATAATACATTCTGCAGTAGTTAGTCTACTATAGATTATTATTCCTTCTGCGGTTCTGCACTTCAAATACGTAAGGTATTTGACAAGAACCACTTAATTCTGGAACAAGATCAAACTTCGAGTCCTTTTTCATTGTACAATTATACAACATCTCAGTTATTTACAAAATCTCACACAGAGAGTTAGTCCACTTCTTTGGTATCATTGGTTTTCTTCAGGAGCTCCAGCAGGCCCTGGGACATGAAATATGGCCGCTCCGCTGACCCATCATTCCGTTCAAGGTCTTCCACTGTGGAACACACAAACATGGATTGGGAAAACTGCAATAGGCATGTTTTAAATATAAATAATTGTTTACTATTGTTAATTATAACTTATGATGTCAACTTACCTGCTTAAGATCAGAAATCCCCCAGTTAAAATTTACACATTGTATTAAATACAGTCACTTTTAATAAAGATTTACATTGTCCAGTAAATATGGAATGTTATCAGTTATCAGAAAATGTTACACATTACACAAGATGACGAACAAGAAGAATTACAAAAGCATCAAAAGACAAAATGTTAGAAGCAAGCATTCAAAGGCCAAGTCGACACCATGCAGCACTTAGATAGAAGAGAGGAATGGGAGGAGGACGGAGCAAGGCAAGCACAGGTCAGTAAACATGTGGGTATGTCTTAAAGCTGCATAATATGTATTTATATGTATGTATATAAATGTTAATTTGGTTAATCTTCAATGCATTAACAAGGCTATGGATAACAATCACGTTTGCTTACAATGATTACAATTTTATATTATATCATATTATGCAGCCTTAGTTTGTATCAGCAAAAACAGGTCTCGAAAGTTAAGTTTTACAATCACAGCACTCTTAAACCTTTCTGAGAGGCAAGACTGAGGCCAAATATGAACAATCACTACAGGATATACAGAAGTCCCATGTGAAAAACGCAACATCCAGTTTATCAAATGTGTCTGTTACATTTTGGCGTCAGCTGGTATTATTGTAAACAGTGAAATCGAGATTCACCATTAGGACATGTTGATCGACTGTAAACACGGTAGTCCTGAATTGCATTGATTAAGACAACAGAACTTGACATCAGGCACAGGTTCAGCATTCACAATTTGTTTTTGTCTTTTGTTTTTCAGATTTTCACAATATAAATCCAACAATGACCAACCTTGACCCACAAAAGCAACTTTCAAGCTACGGAGATGCACTGGGCTTTGATGAAAAACCTGCTTCCCTCATCATCACGGTTTGTCCATTTCCTCAGCCGGAACAGTACAACATTTACAAAGCCAAAATAAAAGGCCTCATATTTACCATACATTAAACAGGTCCATACCACAAAAAAAGGTTTTAATTCTGAACTTTTTGCCATTTACTCTTTCGGAGAAGTGGCATCAGCTTCTGGCTTGGGCTCTTCATCGTTCTTCTCAACAACTGCTTCTGCTTTAACTTCATCGGTTGGTTCAGGGTTAGCCGCCTCAGTCTTTTCCTCAGTTTTGACCTCCTGTTTTTCTTCGGGCTCCTTAATTTGTGCGACTTCTGGCGTTTGTTCGATGGCGTTAGCTTGGAGGTCGTTTTGCACCACCTTGCTCTCCTCGATGGCATTATCTGCATCAGCTTTTAGGGGCTGTTCCTCCTCGTTGGCCTGTTGGAGCACAGACTGCTGCTTCAGCTGGATCTCTCCGTCTGGTTGCTGCTGCAGTGGAGTTTCCTCTTCGCACTTGACCTCATCCACACTTTTGGCTGATTCTAGCTGCTCTGCACCATCTGTTTCCTCTTCAACCTTCTTCGTTTTGGACAAGATTTCATGCAACTCGAGGGACATGAAGTAGGGCCTGTCTGGAGATCCGTCATTTCTCTCTAAGTCCTCGCCTTTTCAGTGATAAGTGCACAATTATGAGTGATTGATATGGGAGATAATGGGAAAAAACAAAAACAAAAACAAAACAAAACAAAGCAAAAGCCAGAAATAATATTGAAAGTGGGAAAATGAATGTGAAAAAATTAGCGGGAGAGAAAGATGAAAAGTAGAGTTAGAAAAGGTGGCAATACAAAGACATCAGAAGTTACTGTAAATAACATTTGTGTGTGCTACATGAAGGAACTTACAGAAGCAGAGGAAGAGCGTGTCCACACACATGGCGTACACACTGAAGAAGCCGTGAGCGATGAGGTAGGAGCCCACAACAACAGTCTAAAACACACACATGGGAGTATATGAAGCAGACTACAGGCATCCTTTATAAAGAAAGCCAAAAATAACACATGACACATTATTATTGAATATACGGGAAAAAAAACAGTTAAGACTCTAAACTTTATAGAGAAATGGAGGGTAAATTGTCTGTGTGCTGAATTGCAATCATAGCTGTAAGTGGATCTCACCAGTATTGGCACCCAGTAGTAGTTGAGAGATGGAGCAGCATCTTCAACGGCTTTAATCCTCCCAGAAAAGAAGAAGAAGGAGAAGATTCCTGAAGAAAAAATAAATACATGAAGAAAACTATATACAGGTAGATTAAAATGTTATTGTTTTGGACTGTGAGGGCATTTGACAGTGTGACAGTGTTAATAAATCAAAAGGCAGTTTGAAAAGAAAATGTATAAAGGAACCATCATCAATAGCCAAAATAGAAATGCAGGGACAATTAATTGGCTAAGAACCACATTTTAGAAATAATAACCAAAAAAAGATTTTCTCTGGTCAATGGCAAAAAAGCATCTAAAAAAATCTATATTTTAGAGAAAAGTGTAGTCTAACTTGTCTTATGCATTAAGGAAAAAATGACGCACCGACAATCCCGACAATAAGGAGCTTTCCAAGAAACAGCAGGAAATCAGTGACTTTGTCCAAAACAGCGACTCTGTAGAACAAAGAGGGAAAAGAGTTCATAAGTATGTGTAGCATTTTGTAATTACATTTTCAATATGATTCAGACCTGACAATGTTTCTCATGAGGAGGAAGAATGCATCTTTAGCAGAAGTGCAGAAGCTTTTGCCGTAGATGGCAATCTGAGGACAAAAATAACCACTTAAGCAACATATACACACATACACGCATGCACGCACACAAATATCCAGGGTTTGAATGGGTTCAGTAGACTCACCATGATGTAGGCGTTCCTGTTCAGAAACTTGATGCATTTCTCGAGACACCAGAAGCAGCACTTCATACAGCTCAGCATGAACTTGGCACACTTGTTCTCTGCCCCTGGACATGAGAAAAACACACATATAAGATACTAACTTCTAATCAGGTCTTGGAGTTAAACATTTGTACCTTTCAGTTTGTGGTCCAGATACTCGAGAATGACCCGGATGGCCTGCACTATAGACAGGATGAGTGAGCCAAAAGCCAGGGAGCCGGTGTGGTATCTGAACACAAGGACAGAGTCTGGCTGTGAGCTCAAACACACTCTTTTTTTCTACAATCCCATATTTCCGACAGACAACGCCATCTGTCACACGCAGAGGCAATTTCCCCAAAACTTCCAGGCATTCGTCTGTTCTCTCCAACAGGGAACACAACCAGGATTAAACTCTACAAGAATATTTTTAGATGGAACAACAATAGCCACATACTTTGTAAGACATGTTTTCATAATAGGTCCCCAGGAATTAAAGAGAGACGAATATAGACATGACTTGACTAAGACCAGGGATGTCCAGAGTCCAGACTATTGCCTGAGATTTTTGTTGGTCCTTCAGCTTCAGAATTGGCCCAAATGATCAAAGACTCTTTATCATGTTTACTGCAAATTTGGGTCAGTTTGGGTAAATCTGCTATTTACCAACCCAGAAAAGGTTTTGTCTTTCTCCAGTGAGAAAAGTTTAGAATGGGATAGGAGCAGAGTGTTACTTAGCCTTATAAGATACAGTTCAATGCACATAAAACAATCTTTGGGGAGCTACTTAGTACTGGTAAATGTTTCATGGAAAACCCTGCTCTAACCAATAACCCCATAAACGTGTCCCGTGTATTGCTGAGCTTTCATTGCGAACATGTAAAAAAGGACCCAAGGGACACATAAAAGTTGTTTACAATTAGTGGTTCTATGTTCATTGCATTCTTCTGATTGATTTGATTTTTCGCCCACTAGTCTTTGATCATTCACTTGAAGTACGTTCTATCAAGTGAAGGTGATGGTTTGGAAACTTTGACAAATGCAACACAAAAGTTTCAAAAGAAAATAGATAACATGGCAAATGTATTATTATTTCAAGGTTTTGATGGGAAAATGTGGAGTACCTTAGCGCTCGCCCCAGTGAGGAGAAAATAGGGTACGCTGGGATGTGTTCCGGCTTCTTAAAGGCCCAGTAATACGAGGCAAAAGCCCCAGAGAGAGTGACCTGTCCCAGTGCTGTCACAAAATTGGCACACCAGAAAAAGAGAAAGAGGTTGTAGAACTGGAACAGAATGAGGTATTTGTGATACAGCGTCTCCCCGCCGTAAAAAGCGAAGAGGCACTCTGCGTCAGGACACTGCATCGAGATGTTGGACGAGTTGAAGGTCTAAGGACAAAAGAATAATAACATGACTTTTGCAGGACACAAATTAAAACACTTATAATTATTCTGGCTGGGAACATATTTCTTTCATCTTTTGCAATAATGTTTGGCTGTAAATGCATAAATATAATGTAATTAATGTAAATATTAGAAAAAGCAGCTTACAGTCTCACATATATGCCTACAGTATATATCTATCTGTGCTGTCATGGTTGTATTGTACTTCTAGTTATATACATTGTTGCACTGTTCTGAACAATTGTTTAAGACAATAAATTTGAATCAACCACAAAATTAGACATCGAGTAGTTTCACCTGTTAGCCTACGTATATTATTTGATGCATTAGTCATTCTAGGCCTATTCGAGGCACTTTTCAATATCTGAGAGCACAAAACACTGGTTTTAAACAGTAAACCTGTTTTAAATCAGGGGCGGAAAACTCTTTTTGGAAGGTAAATAAAAAAATAAAAAATAAGAGCTGGTCGGAGAACGTCTAAAAGTGGTTCTTTCATAATTATTATTATAACTTATTTTTTTAACCTACATTTAGCTGTTCAACTTCTAATTACATGTTGGATTCAAATGCACTATCATATAAAATTCTATCGCTTTTTTGTTGTTGAGAAAATTAGCTTTAAAATAAGATATAAAGTGCAGTACCATCAATGCTGCAAATTATTCATATTAATTAAAAATAATGTGGTTAATTGCAACTAAATTAGATCAACATTTTATTACCATTCATTGAAAATAAATATTCTGGGATTTACAATTTACCTTTGGGTCACACGTGTCCCGTGCATATTCACACTCCGAGTTATTGAAGACTTTGTAGATCTGCTCATTGGAGGTGGACAAGAATCTGGTCACATGGATTCAGGAAAAGGTTCAAATGTAAAGTAAAGTAAAGTAATAACAAATGTGAATTAAAGGACTCAAGGATACACCGCAGTAATGGCCCAGTAGGCGATCACCACAGCCAAAAGGACAAAGGTCAGAAGTGGGTAAAATAGGGCTGACATCACATGGCCTATGGCTCTGAAAAATAAAGTGAATATGTCAATGTCAACTTTATTTACATGGCACATTTACAACAACACCAGCTACCCAAAATGCTTAAAGACACAATCAAAATAATATATAAAAAAGAATTCAGTTGGTGTTGAAAGCCAAGCCATACAATGTCTTTAGGCTAGATTTCAAAGTCTCCAATGAAGGAGATGCTCTAATGTGCAGAGGTTTGGGAGCAGCAACATCAAAGACCCAGTTTCCATGTGTTCTGAGTCGAGACCAAAGCTGGTTTTCTGACCTCACTAACCTGACAGGAACATACTGTATAATAATAGCAACTTATAAAAACAAGCATCAGAATTTTAAAATCAAATCTGATTGTGACAGGGAGCCAGTGAAGTGAGGCTAGCACAGGGGTAATGTGCTCTCTCTTTCAAGTCACTGTTGAATGCGCTTTAGTGAGTTTTGATACAGGCCGCAGAGAGTGACAGTAGTCCAACATCAAAGAAATAAAAAGGTGATCAACTCAAAGTCATTAGGCAGAAGGCAGAAGCTGGTAGAATATCGCTTTAATATCTGAATTGATTTGATTGTTCATCCTGAAAGTGCTATCAAAAATAACTCCTTAACATAGAAACATGTCATATCTAGAAAAATGTCTTGATGCTGAAACTCTACACAAAATGACACAGACCTGCTGGCTTCTTTGATGAGGGCAATGGCAATAAGAAGTCTTTTCCTCAAGAATATGAGCAGCAGAATGATGACAAACTCCACAATACACAGAATTATCACTGAGAGAGCAAGAGAGTAGTTGTGAATTATTAGGCAAGTGCAAATAAATATGACAAGAAACAATATTGAATGTACTGACTGAAAGCGAGCCATGTCTGTCTGATTTGTAGATAAACAGAGAAATCCGTTTGCAGGCCCAGATCTCGAATGGTGACATCGGCTCCTGGCTCGCCGTGCAGACTGGCAAACTCCATGTAGCAGTGGAAAATCCCTGGAAGCACAACACAGTACTCAAAAACGAGTAAGCGAATAAAACACAACTCATTTACACGGAATGGTCCTTACCGTAACCAATGACGAGAATGACCAAGATAATCATGACCCACACCATAACTCCGGCCAGGAATCGGAGCAGCACAATGAAGATCAAGCTGACAAGCATAGCAAGCACCAGTCCACTGCCAACAAGAACAGACACAGTTAAAGCTACCTCACTGTGTATGTATTATTAACCCTTGTATGTTCACCCCTTGAAGAAAGCAATTTAAATGTTTCTTTTCTTGATTTCCTAAGATGTAGGAGCACTAATAACACACATCTTTTCTTTTTTTGGAATCCCTAGTTTTCTAATTATAGGCCTTTACCAAATGGTTGAGGTGCATTTTGATGGTAAAAGTGCCTAAAACCAAGTGATAGAGATGCCCCTATGATGTAGATTTCATTTCCAAGCTTCAAGTGACTCAAAAAGCAATCCACCAAATGCTTGAGGAAACCTTTTGATTTCCTCTTGATACAACACCAGCCCAGCGCCCGGAGGTCCAAGGGCCAGCTCCAAGCTCCAACCCCCTGTCCCCGTACAGGGCCTTCTCTGTGGCTGGACCAAAGTGGTGTTTTGGGTCCTGTCTTAAAAATCACTTCTATTCTATGGTTTTTAATACAGCATACATTTTTATAGTGTATTATATCCTCTGTGTTTTTATGTATTTTTACAAATGTTATTGTTATATTATGTTTTTACATAACTCTTACTTGATTATCTTGTTTTTTGGTCTCAGAGCCAGTGTTAAATCAAATAGTGCATTTTTTATAACTTATCTGTGCAAGACTTTGTAAACTGTCCTGTTTTTTGAAATGTGCAAAAGAAGATTGGACTAAATTGTTCTTCTCTCTCCAGAGCAGGGGTGCTCACACTTTTTCAGCATGCGAGCTACTTATAAAATGATCAAGTCAAAATGATCTACCTACTACAAAAATGCAAAACATATATTTATTTCTAAATATATTGAGGATTCTTTATATCTACACTGTATGTGGATGCACATGCAAAACCGCATGATTTATGAAATAATTTGCATCCACACATAACCGAACATTTGCGTTTTCAATCACATTCATAACATTACAAACATGTACGTCCTCTGACGTCCTGCGTTGGGGAAAAACACAGAAGTGGGCGGAGCTTTGATGCAGACGCCGGTACTTCTGTAGCGACACTTTTACAGTCATAGAAGAAACTCAGGGTGAAGACATATTATTATAGATCCATGGTAAAGACATATGTTTACAAGCACTGACCCCCGTCCTCAGCCCTGGTTTGATCCTGGTTTAGCTTCTGTTTTGGTTGTTATCAAGCGTGAGTCCCTGTCACTTTGCTGCTGATGTGGAGTGTGTTTGCTGCTGTGAACCGCTCGCAGAAGCGAACAGTTTTTAAGGCAGTAAGATCCATGCTTCAGTGATCAGAGGTCGCACGTTTTGTTTGTTGTTGTTTTGGGGGCATACTGTGGTGTGCGAAAACGCAAAACTCCGGTTATCTCTGTCTACACGCAAATGTATAAACGGATATTTTTGTTTAATGTAATGCGATCTACCAATACAACCTTTGTGATCGACTGGTAGATCGCGATCGACGTATTGAGCACCCCTGCTCCAGAGAGTTAACGCGGGACCTTGGAATAAAACTAAATAGCTACATCTTAATCTACGTAAATAGAAAACATGGGACTAAAGTACAATGCAGAGTTTATTTGAGCTCAGTTTAGGGAGTCCCCCCATTCCTATAAGACATAGTATTTTATGTGATTATTTGAGTGGTGTTCCACAAAAACAGTGTGAGGTATGAGCAGCATGTTCAAGAGCAGGCTTACAGCAGGATCCAGTGCCATGATTGGGTGTAATCTTCAAATATCCTCATTGCAACTTGACGTGCTTCTACGACCGCATTTGACTTCCTTCCAAGATGCCAATGAAGGTGTCACAGTGAACCAAAAAGAGAGCAATGCAAAGAGAACATTAAACAGAGAATAACATTAAGATAATGTGCAGGGTGCCAGGTCTAAGGTTTCATACATTCCATCTAAAAAACATAAGGCCAATGAATAGGGCTGGGGTTTTTATTTTAAATGTAAAAATGAAAAAAACGAAATTGCAGTATTTTCTTGACTATTAAGCCCCACCTTGCTGGAGAATTACAATTATGAGAAACATTTAAAAAAGAATCGCACCATCTAAATTTTACGATCAGTTGTTCACATATAGGATGCACCGTTGACTCGCAAAGATCAAGGCCCTCTGGTTAATCCAGTCTATTTTAACCTATAACCTATTAATAGAAAAATAAGTCTGAAAGTCTGATGTATTTTTCATATAAAGCACAGCAGCCTCATAGAACTATAATAGATCCATCAGCAGCACAGAGGACAGTGCTGTGATGTATCTGCCCAGAGGAGGGCTGCTGTTTCCGCCGCTCGTTAGGAAAATGTGATTTATTAACAGCCGCGAGAGCTCCTTTCCTCACTGCTTCTTTCTCCTCACACCTCCTTCAATTAATTTAAAAGGTCAATTACAAAAGAAAAAATTACAAAAGCCTTTTCCTCAGCCCTACACTAAATACATGCACGTGAAAACTAGTGATAAAGCCAAACGGTTTTGAGAGCTCTTACATTACTATCTTTTATGTGATACGAAAAATTGGGTACCCCGGCTTTAACTCTGTGTGGCTGTTAAACTGCATGTTTCAGAAAGGGTTAAAAATGTGAAAATCTATAGGAATGCTTCACAAGATACTCACTTTGACGCCTCCAGCACATCAGTGGCATTTATGCTGGTTCCTTCTCCTGTGTCGAAACTGGTCTCGTTGCCCACGACAACAACCCCACCTTTCATGGTTCCCAGTGCAGGAAGGCAGCGCCGCGTGACTGCAAAAATATATTATTATCATTAATCTTTATTAAGGACACAATACAATACGGTCCATAGTTAAAGAAAATATCCAATACACATAGTATATCCCATAATTAGTATTGGGGCTGTAAAATGTATAGGAAAGTATGTGGCAATGTGCATGGCAATTGTATGCTAACAGACTCTTGGTACAGTGGCTATAGAAAGAACAAAATACAACATGGCGAGAAAAGAGAAGCGATAACGGCAAAAACAATCCAGGTTGAAGACAGTTCTGTTTGCCTGTGCGTACAATGGAAAGATTTTATCTCTCCTCTTGAATTTTTTTTTAAAATTATTCTAATCCCTTGTGTGATTTTGATGTTTTAATGCTTTTAATTGCCTGTGTGATTATATGTTATTAATATCCCACGTTTGTTTTAAATGCCCTGAGAGATTAATGTTTATGATTTCTGCTTTATGTGTTACCTTGTGTAGGAAAAGTGCTCTACAAATAAAGATTGATTGATGGAATGATTGATACACCGTATATTAGGAGTGGACTAATTGAGTGCTAATGTCGGTATTTGTTCCGACGCCATTAGCTTTGTGCCGCAACAGGGGCATAATTGATGCTAAAACAAGCTGGCGTCTCCTCCTCGAGTGATGGTATCTGATTGGTCAATCCTTTTATGGCTCATATCTGGATTTACAAAGACAATATCAAAACATAAAAACTCCAGGATCATAGAGAGATCTCCCAAACCACCATTTTTTTTTAAGCTCAAAATGGTAAATGTAACACAAACAAGTACTAAGTTAGAAGAGATTACTTTTCAAAAGTTTGGATTTGTAAAAGAGACCAGAAATTGTGAGTCTGGGTGAGTCAGTGGTCTTCACTATCCAATATTGCACTTTTTTCCAATATGGTGCAGCCCGATTGTTAATTAACAGTAATAATTTGTATTCAGCTAAAACAATGATCTACTTACAGGGTTTACTTGGCATCAGCATAGCCGGACATGAGCCATCCCTCAGGATCTCGGGAGGACTCTGGACAATGACAAATACATAATTTTCATAGTTCAAACTTATGTGTATTGGTATAAGCAGTGTTTTATATGTACCTTACTGAAGTCCACTCCCTCTTTACAGAACTGCTTGTAGTATTCATGCTCACCCATGAGTTTGGCTTTTATCAGAGTTAAATGCTTGTCCGGACATTTCTCCACACATAACTGAACTCCAGGAGACATACATTAATATCGTCGACCCAAAAAACAATGTGATAAAAGGTCACAACAAGAATTACAGACCTGTGTGGTGGGACATTGCAACTCAAGTAGCATCAATGGGCTGGCACATTTTAGGATGTTAAAATAGAACAGAAATGGCTTGTTCCTGTAAAGATAAGAAAAAGGAAATGGATATCAAATGAATCCTTGTTTGGGAATATCTGATGTCAGCGGGTGACTCACTCAAGGGGTGTGCCGGCCTGTCCACAAAACTGACCCCTGCTGTCGGTGGGATAGATCACTTTCCTGGGATCACCTTGGGACCAGGCTGTGGGGAATCAGATACAGATTCAGATTTTGATTCACTTTATTTGCCATTAGCTGAAACAACGCTTTGGAATACATCTACCCCAGTGTGGACCAGGCAAATACATACATAAAACAAGCTAAACACAGATAATTTAGCAAAAAGACATCTAATATTCATAGATGTCATGTCCATAGACAATAAAATGTAGTGTAAAAGTTATATTTTCGACACAAATAAATCATTATTCCAATAGATTCAAACTTAATACAGCTTTAGAGAAGCGCTACTAGCGTCCAAAGTCATAATATAATATGTATAACTTTTTGGGTTTTTAGTGTATATTGGTTAAAATTGAGTTTGAATCATTTTTTCAGCTCACATTTCCAACAATGGACATGGCCACATTGTTAGTATTTACATTTCATTTTTGGGTTCTCAAGTTGACTGGAAGTTTAGATTGCAATAACTTTTTAAAACCAGTAAATGCAGAACTAATGCAGCACTACTTACCCAGAATCCCCACCGCGAAGTATCCCAACAAGGCGAGGATGAAGAGGATGCAGCAGAGGATGTCGGTGCAGCCCCTGATGAAGAGGAGAGCGTTAAAAACACTGTGATTAAACGTGACAGGTCGAAGGCATCTCACCTGTTTTGGATTGGTCCTTTGAAACTTGGATCGAACTTTCTGGTCTCTCCTGAAACACAAACAAAACAATGATTTAGTTGAAAAATCTATTATACACACATAACAATGCATGAATATCATTTGGTTGTTTAGAAAAAAAGGGAACAAACAGACATGGAGTTGTCTTAAGAAACCAGGTTCCATAAATAAACATGGTTCTTCTTCGTTTTTGGCCCAAGTGAATATTTGTGAAGCTACAGAAGGGATGTATGACTCACAAGGCTATAATACAGATCAATGAGAGCAATATTTTGTCATGCTAAAATCCAATATATGCTGTGTATCTTCCATTTTCAACAACAAAAATAATCAACACAGACAAAAGCTAATTCATGTCATAATTTCAATATGTATTTGCATTCATAATACATTGAGTAACAATGCATGGATAAGTTGTAAGAATTCCGATTTTTGATCAGTAAAATCACCTGTATAAATTGAAAGTATAAATTTAAATTATAAAATATTTAAATGAGAAAATTAATTTGTTATTATAAATTGGAATCATGTCAAGGGGCAATGTTGTCACGATACTGAAATTACAAACTTGATTTTGATACTATGGACAATGGCCTTCACCCAGTGGACAAACGCAGACAAAACATCTAGACTTCAGCTTTGCACCTGTTGTTATGACTATAATATCATCTCTCAATCTGACGCGATGTGTGATGTTAGATTGTCTTTAAAATGTGTATCCTGAAGAAGCTCTGCAGGGGGGAAATGATTCTGTCTGAGAACAACTCTGTACCAATATTATTATTAATATTTACAGTCTATGGTACCAACTGAAAGCGGCTCTGTACCACCTGAACAACCTCTGAAAGAACTGAAAATGTAATTAAAAGGGCCGCGTCATGTGCTTCTGAAACCCGACCCTGTCCTGATTTTCTACAATCCGAATAATGAGAGACAATGTTTTTAAAATACTATTTTTGGACAATGATCTGCACATTGCAACAATAGAGTCAATACTATATAGACATTTTGTGGGGCCATAAGTTTTTGTTCCAGTTCTCTACTCCGAGGATCTCACATGTTGTTCATGTGATTTCTTCAAAAATATCAATGCTTCTCTAATTGAGTATCTAATTTTAATACTAGTTTTTGTATCGATTCATTAGATTTTTGACAATCCTAGACTGGGGTTACATCTGTTTGTTTCATTTCTCATTTCCAACACTTTTCATTTCATAAAGTGAATTGAATAGATCCATTACAAAAGTAAAATATTTCAAAATGTTGTTTCTTGAAAACTGATATCACTATTCACAATATTCTTTAATATATAAGTACTTGTATTTATTATTTAAAGGTATAAATCTGCATCAATAAAGCTAACAGAAACACAAAGGGGGTTTTCAGCCGTCCTCTCGAGCCAAACAGCAACCCACAAAATGTCTCCCTACAGACTGAAGGCGCCATGGAAACACCTCAGATGCAGAGTCAAAACCTCGCCCACTATTCTGACTGTTCTCATTACGACTGAGAACTGCGATTAATAATATGCATTCAAACAACGCCATAGGCCCAACCACTGTAAGCTGGGCACCACACAAGCCCTATTATACTGTAGGTACTTCCTTTGCTATAGAAACATATTTATTTAGACCGGTAGTCAGGGCTGTGCCAAAAATCAAAAGATTGAAAGATTGCAATCACAATTTTGGGATTCGAGATGCAAATAATATTACCACATTATTGGTGTTTATTAACAACAAAAGGGGTTAATTGTCAATAACAAAAGTATTGTATTGTATTGTATTCATTTTTATGAAAGTAAAATTATGAAAGTTAAATTAAGATTGTTGAATGACCCTTAAATCCCAAAATCACAATAGCAATAGTGCACCAGGTTTGAGATAGGAGCATTTAGACAAAAGGGAGAGGGCAGGGTAAGGTCTGTTTTTGATGAGGGAAAAGTGTTGTAACATGATTAAATTAAAATAAACACACCCATTAAAAGGTTAATACAAACGTTGGGATGAATAATGTATCTCCTCTAAAGTATAAAGAGCAATATCTTTGCACTTTGTTTTTGTAAAGAACTATAAATATAAGCCGTAATACTGAACTCACAGATCTATTGTCAAGATAAACAAACCATGGGAAATTAATTTCATTCCATTTCTTTATTATGCTAAAGTTAGAGATTCTGTACATACAGTACTTAATCTTAATATCTCATGTCATTGTTTCCCACCTTTCTTATTGTCATTTTAGTCACTTTTTAGTCACCCCATGCTGTTCTGCCAGAAAACATTTTTGTCACATAAGATGCAGAAAAATCCTCCCTTCTCTGGTAACTCCCTAACACTAACCCAAGACAGGAAAGCCGCCTGTAAGACCTGAGTTCAGCTGTGTTTTAGAGTGTCACATTCTTTGATAAACTGTACACACTTTGGAGAAACAGAAAAATATAGGCGACTGCTGGGTTAGAACACATTTAGAGCTCACCTTTCATATGTACGTGACTGAGGTGCTACAAAATACAATAAATCCATCTATGAGCTGAGTGTTTGGTTTAATCTTACCTCTTGTATAGTTTGTCATGTTCTTATTCTCTGCCGCCGCTGACTACTTCCTGTAATACAACTTGACGCTCGATTCTCACTTCCCTTATAGTCAAATATCTCATTCTGTCTTTGCCTGGTCCCCCGTGTGGCTGAATGTGTCATGGGACCAAACACAACAGGTCCAATAACCCACAGGGGTAGTATGGCGCCTCTCGTCTGATGTTTAGACAAAGCACCAAACATTAGGGACAACCAAATGTCAAGCTTAATTTATTCATGTGAAACCGTAACATTGATTAATATGTATTGATGAACATAAGTCCTTTGGGGAGACTGTGGTTGTGATTATGAGTACTGCAAAATTAAGGGAATATCAGTCGTATGAAAACCCCTGACATAAGGCTTTTGTTCTTTCTTGTTTTCTTTTAGCCAAATAGTCAGTACCACAATATTGAGAGAGGTTATTCTCCTGAATTAGTGTGTGTAAAATATTATGTTTTATTAATATAAGCTTCATGTATTGTCATCCTTCTTTGTGAGAATTTAAACTATATCATCCATCCATCAAACCATCCATGTTCTTCCCCTTTATCCATTTCTGGGTTGGGAGGGTGGCAGTCAGAGCTACACCCAGTTCACATAGCACCAGCCCCTCACTGATCCTTCTGCAGGTGGTGAGTCCACAGGAGGATGGCTGCTCAAGTCTGACAGAGCTGCCTTGATCTTCCAGCGGAGGCTTCAGGCAAAAGTAGGGTTAAGTGTCTTGCCCAAGGACACAACAGCAGCAGACATCAGTGGGAGTCGGTCTCGTGGTGGCCTCAAACCCACGACCATCAGGCCCAAAGGCCAATACTCTACCAACTGAGCCACTGTCGTCCCAAACTAAATCAAAACCTTTTCAATTCAAATGTTTTAAATCCGTTTTAAAAACTGGTTATTTCATTGATAACGGCAACAAATATATCGAATGTTACAGTATTTCTGCGGTGGATTGGTGAAATGCGAGTATCATCAGAAGGACAACTTTACATGTATGTTTAATTTTCAATTGAAGCTCAAAGTTCTGTATAAAATTGGATAAAATGGATCAGTTAATCTGAGCAAAAAGACAAAGTGATGCTCTGCAGCTCCACAGACTCTCAGCTGTGATGTCACTTATCTTGATCGGTGCATTGTTGGCTAAAGAGGCGGTGTTCTGATACAGGGACACAACACTGGAAAGTAGACGCACAAAATACAGTAATTTGGACACACACACAGCGGTATCACAGCCTGATCTGCCCACCTCCAGCACGTGATATCACTGCAGCACTATATCAAGGAACACAATGCCAACTATTGATCTAAGTCACAAAATTGCGACTAAGAGAAGAAGAGGCAACAAAAACTGCTGTATGTAATATGTCTTCAGTATAAGATCTAAATGCCATGGACGTTAGTAGCACACAAATCTGTAAATAGTGATGATTGACCTGGTTTCTGCCTGGTTCATTTCATGAGCTCGTACTCCTATTGACTCCTAGGATTGAGACCATATTGGCTCACAGCTTGTCTCACTGAGCAGAATGGATCATGCGGTGAAATGTATCTCATCAAACTCAGGTTTCTGACATAGGCAATCACACAAATCAGACGTAAAAGCCCTAAATGCATCGCAATTCATATTTATAACATGCTGTTATTATACAATTAACTAATTCAACAACAGTATTACAAGCTCTGTGAAATCATATCAGCAAGTACTCAAAATAAAGCACACATTTTAGTTTTGGAATAAGTGGTATCAGGACATCCCTAGTAATCAAAGCTTTTTATCTTGATGGCACAAGGAATGGCTACTCTATTCAGCCAAAAAAAACAAAAAAACAATAAGAATAGTTTCAAAAAACACAGGTGTCAGTATGTCTGTGTCTGTATGTTTACTACACTGGGGCACAATCTACATAAAGTTTCCATCTTCGGTCACATTGTCTGTGATGGTTTTGTCTAAGTAAATCTAAAGGCTTTATATTACACAATCAATCGGCTGTCTTTTTGGCCTCTCTGTGTCATAAAACAATGTCTTATTGTGTTCCAAAGGCTCTGCCGCTCACCGCCAGCAGCTAAACGTCTCTTGGCCTGTATGTGAACAAACAAATAGGCCATTTTGATGGAGTGAGAAAATAGCAGGATGGTGTTGTTGTCTACTAGACAGAACATGTGGCCAGAGACGTGACATATTTTTATATTTCTTGTTTTGAAAGTTGGAGTCTGGGAGTTACCATGACGATGGCCTGGCAAGACTCAGGCCATAAATGGAACTCACATTGATTATATGTTGTATTGAGTCAATGCTTTGAGACATTTATGTCATAGCCTAAGTTAGCGGCCATGGACATCTGTCCCCTTGAAATTACAACATGACCAACATGAATTGGTAAAATGGCTATGACTATAACAGAGTGTGTATCCATGATCTTTTCACCCTCCTTTTGTGCAGTAGGGAAGCCCAATTTTAGCAAAATATCTAAGTGCATTTTTTTCCTGACCGTTATTGAGATCCAATTTATAATAAAAAGGAGGATTTTGTTCTGGGTTACTAGTGTTGCATTTGAAAAACACACTCATTAGCCAATACACAATTCTCATAAATTTCAGCAATGATGTCTAAACTATTGTAGAACTTGATTGCTTTGCAAATAAAAATGCATACTCTGCACAAGTGATAAAACTAGATCACCTGTCACTAGTCAGAATCCTGATAATCTATTAGCTGGCCAATTATTCTTTCGATTAGTCCTGAAAGGTCAGTAAATATGGATTTTTTTAAAACATTTGAGCAAAACAAAGCTCAAGCAAACCCTGGAGAAAATCAGATAAATGTTTACTAAATTTCAATAATTTTTTGTCACTTTTATATATGTTTGTTTGCATAGGACTGAACAGCAAAGATGAACATTTGTAATAATTGTAGTATTGATTTTTCTGCGAATTGAACCACTAAAACTGTGGTTTTGTTTTGTCAAAAAAACAAACAAAAAAAAGTCACATTTGACAACCACTAATTACCCCACACTGAACGCTCATAAAGAAGAGACACTAAAGCCTCTTCGGAAGCATAAATATTTTAAGTGTCCACTCTTCTTTGCATCCGTTTTTCTTTATCGCACAGAACTTACAGTCAAACATGAGGCAAATACAGTGTGTGTGTAGAAAGCGGTAAAAGATCTTGACACATAAAATTGGACAAGATTGGCCCGCTGTGTGGGATGAGTGTACAAGGCTGAACAGTGCAGCGTGGTTTCGTGCACGCTGAGGCCTGCCTAGTGAAAATGTCAAATCATTACTATAACATGGCGGTCCTCAGGTCAGATATGTCTATTGTGATCATGATGTGAGCTCAAAAGTGCATTGTGTGAGTAGTGTGTTGCTTCTGCCACAAAGCTTGATCCATATACTTTCAGATGGCCCCGGTCTCCCTGACCTTATAGCCTTCAAAGGGAGGGGTGCTATAGGGAGAAAAGGCCATGGAAAATATGGGAAGCAGCCAGGAAATACTATGTGAGCTGTTTGGATAGCGAGGATGTGCACTTCTTATTGTGGGTGTGGGCTGTTGTTGAGGCATCATATTGTGAAAGAATTGGAGGCAGACAGAATTAGTTAGCATTAGTGGAACTGTCTGTAACATGAGACTAAACTGCTGTCTCTCCTCTTGAGTGGCCGCCATCTCTTTTAACAATGTTACCGTGAATGCAATAATGCCGGTGGTTTATCAAGAATTCATGACTCAACAGTCCGCAAGAACGACATGGCCTGTACATAAGACCACAGTATTTCTGTGGCCAATGGAGTATGTGTGGCAAATACATGCATGACACCCATAACAATCAGCAGAGAGTGAGTCATGTCTGAGGTTGGCATCTGTTGCAGCACAATAATATACAGAGATACCATATAGCTATCTCTATGTCTCTGTGCACTGGCCCTTCAAATAAAGAAAAAACATATAGTCTATGAATGAAACCAAACCCATATGCAGATGTTTTTGGTCAAGTTAGGAAGAGACACAAGTTTGAGCACCTTTCTTGGCCTAGACGTCAAGTCAAAACACAACAACACTTTTTGAAACTTGTTCAATATGACTTGAATGATCACTGATTGATCAAATTAAAAGCATTTCGATAACTGTTGATTAAGACATGTCTGATAATGCGAGAACGTGGAAAACATAGTATAAGATTAGCCTCAAACCATAGCCTGACGTGCATGGGAGGACACCCACACAAAACATCAATGTATTTGGTGTCATGTTGCCAGTATATGTATCATCGTTGTTTATCCAAACCACACATATGCGAGGTGTAATGATAAATCATGATGTTTACTGTAAAAAGATGTTTGAAAACAAAAGCTGGTTCTGCTGAGGATGGTCCGCTCGAGCTGCACCATGCCCATGAGGTCCACACCCATCCATCCATTGCAGTCAGTCATTGTTTCCATTTCTACTCGCGATTCCAGAAGAAAATAAAAACCTCAAGAAAGAACTGAAAACATTGTACTCTTACCATACTTGGGATCCGGGTTCTTCTCCTCCATCTCCATTGCACACGGCACTCTTTATGTTATCAGAGCAGACAGCGCAGTCACCATGGAAATCCCGAGGAAAAAACACCAATAATAGCGGCGGGCTGCAACCGCTACAAAAGCGGCGAGAGCACCACCCCCTCAAGGAGCCCACCGCACCTAGGGCCAGCCCCTGCACCAATCAGAGCACTGCATTCACATGAGTGACAGCTCTAATACCCAATGAGAACAACACAAGTGACGGAAAACTTCAGCGGTGGAATGCGCTTACTTTTCATCGTGAAATGTGCAAAATAATTTGACAGCATCAAAAAATGTAGATTTTATGTTTATCACGTATACAGGTTCAGTTTATTTGTCATTTGAATGGTAAAAGTGTGTGCTTGAACTCACGAACACTTACAAGCAGAGTGCATTTGTATACAGTAAACTGAAGACATTTATGTAGATGTTTATTTATGCATGCCTTTAATTTTATTCTGCTTAACTTGTTTGCAACTTGTTTAACTTGTTTGCAATAGCTAAAGCAATTTCCTAGTGTGACTTAATGTTACTCACATGGCAATAAAATAATTCTGATTCTGAAAGCAATATACTTTCAATTATAAATGCAAGTGCAGATATCAAGTCTAAGTTCTAGAAGAGAGCCCCCAAGTGAGCAATAATTTCATAGTGAAAACCCAGTTTTTTATAATAGATCCATGTGAAAACCCCAGTAGGTCTGCTAGGCCCCTTCAAGAATGAAGTAAGTAAATTACATTTATATCGTAGCTTTCATGGATAGCATCCAAAAAGTACTTCTCAAAGCACAGGTGCATCTCACGTGCCCAGAGAAGCATACATCCACGGGGAACAGTGATCTGCAGTAAATCAGGTGCTTAAGTCTACACTAGACCTATGCATAACATGAACATGTGTTTATTAGACAGACACAGACATGAGTACAGTGTCTTATTTTAAAAGCCAATCAGCTGCATGTTGGAAACCCACACCCTCCCAAATGTCCCGGTCACATGGGCGTAACGGAATTGTGCATAAAACTCAGAAAACGTTTTCATTCTAATCTATTACGTTTCACCGTTGTATGGTGACTGCAATGTGAAGTTAAACAACACAATGTCCCCAGTGTTTAAATAGTTTGAACTTGTTAGAGGGCAGTTGTGTAACATTGTCGTTGCTCAACCCACAGCTCGTGTTGCTCTTGCCACTGTAGCAGAAGAGCCTGTGATGTTACGTACGTGTGACGTTTCTCTGCACAGTTACTTAAGCGAATTTCATCAGACCTGTCCAGTGATAGTTCTCAACTTTGCGGCGCCCACATCAGAAAAAAGACTAATATCAGGTACTGTACTTAACTTTTGGTCTCTTGAGTAGCTTTTACAAAGATTATTAATATTATTGTGCTTTCTGGGCTGACGGGTTTTGTGTTTTCGTTACTGCCTTCACTTTTTAAACGTCAAATGATTACGTAACTCACCCTCTGGTATTGCTGTGTTATTACTTTATTACAATATAATGGTAATGTTTCTTTTCAGCCAAATGGCCCTCAGAAACGCTGCTTCTCGTCTTCTTGTCAGTTCTCAAAAATGTGCAACAGTTTTAACATCAAGAGCACAAGGCACAGCTTCTGCACTTCGCAAAGGTATGTAAAAGTCTCAGCTTGTAATAGACAGCTCTACATTACATTAACTAACCATATGTACAACGACACATTTTTTATATTATGTACTAACCAGCTTCAAACTCCCTTAAAGATGCAGAGGAAGTTCCAAAGCAGTCTTCTAAACCACGTAAGTAAACATTGTGCTGGTTCATAGTCTCAGTATTAGTGTGTGACATATGTTTATACTTTTTCCACACAGCCAAGGTGACTTTTGATTGGAGAGATGCACTGAATTTAGAGGGACAGCTGACCGAGGAAGAAGTTATGATCAGAGATTCCTTCAGGGACTATTGTCAAGACAAACTCATGCCACGCATCCTTATGGCGAACAGAAATGAACGTGAGCAAACCGCATTGATAAATCATTGAAGAAGTGGTTCAGAGAATAGCTTGAAATGTGGTCATGTATGTTATTTATTTATTCAGATTTTCACCGTGAAATTGTTTCCGAGATGGGCGAGCTGGGAGTTTTGGGACCAACTATTAAAGGTGAATATTAATGATTGCAAATGATTTATAGTTTTTTAAGATCTATTGTGTATGGCTTAGTCTTAACACTCTATTTGTTTTCGTAGGATATGGCTGTGCAGGCACCAGTTATGTGGCCTATGGTTTGATCGCACGAGAGGTTGAGAGAGTGGACAGTGGATATCGGTCAGTCATGAGTGTTCAGTCTTCACTGGTGATGCATCCAATCAATGCATATGGCACACTGGCCCAGAAAGAAAAGTACCTGCCCCGACTGGGTAAGTTACTTAACTTGGTTTTTTTTTGTTATATTAAATTGACTTTTGTTGGGTTGGGGTTTTTAGAAATGTTAAACATTTCTGGTATTCTTTATCCTAACGGTAAAGCCTTACCCTTAATTTACTCCAATTCCAGTGGCTTATAATTGCACTTGTTTCCATGTGAAAGCCCAACTGTACACTAGTTTGACCCGACATCTTGATAAAATATCAGCACCTCAATGTTTTTGACTCTTCCACTTAAAACTTCATAGTTTCTGAGTTGATTTTAGACTGCAAAGCAATCAGATCTGTATGGAGAAACGCAAGTGTTGGACACCCCAGGAAAGTAAATATTACACCTAAATTGTATTAATCAGTTTGCTTGTGTTTTAGCTCGTGGAGAAATCCTTGGCTGCTTTGGTTTAACTGAACCCAACCATGGCAGCGATCCCAGCGGAATGGAGACCAAAGCTAAATTTAACCCTTCAAGTGGCACTTTCAGTATCAGTGGAGCAAAAACCTGGTGAGCCATTTTTGTGATGTTTCTATATTAGTTCATGATAAGTAAAAACAAAATGGTTACATTGTAAATAGTACTAAGCTGTTGTTGTGTCCTGAGGCCTGACACTTCACCCACATTATCTATGCCTACTATGAATGTGGTGTGTGAGAGAATGGTTTGTGGTGCCACTAGTTTGTAAGTCCGACTTATACGAGTCTACTCGAGGGCAGCTGTGGCAACAATAGTAGCTCACCACCTCCTGTGTGCAGTAAATGAATAATGCACATATAATTATATAACTCTGTCTGTAAAAAAGTGCTATACGGAAAATGTGTCTTACTTACTTTACTTTCTGCTAGGATCACAAATTCCCCAGAGGCAGACATTGCAGTTGTCTGGGCCAAATGTGAAGATGGCAGAGTAAGGGGTTTCATCTTGGAGCGTGGCATGAAGGGGTTCGCCACTCCAAAAATTGAAGGAAAGTTTTCTCTGCGAGCCTCTGCTACAGGTATGATCCTGATGGATGAGGTGGAGGTCCCTCAGGAGAACCTGCTGCCCAACGTGTCCGGTCTGGCTGTAAGTGCTCGTCTCTGCTCTAAGTGCTGCTCTAACCAAGGAAACAATATTACAATAATTGATTCTCTCTGTGGCCAAACAGGGTCCTTTCGGCTGCCTCAACAATGCTCGATATGGGATCGCATGGGGAGCCTTGGGAGCAGCTGAGTTTTGTTTCCATGCTGCCAGACAGTACACCATGGACAGGTGCATGTTGTTGATTACACATTTACACACAAAATAGTAGCACTTTAAAACACATTAAGTACAAAACAAGGATTATCATTATCAACTTTCACCCTATTTTATTTAATATAAACAATAATAACGATAGGATGGAATGTAACTATGACAAATTCTGAAGTTACTGTAATTGAGTTTTTGTTTTTGCGCTCCTGTAAACCCATAAACTTCATATGAGGTTTATGGGTTTAAATGCATTGTTACTGAATGCGCAGAGCTAGGAGAAAACATAGTTTGATTTTTAACACATTTTATTTACAGTGTTTAATTCTTTGAGATTTATCTTACAATGTCTAGTTTAGTTCTTAAGTTGTGACTTAGTAATGTGAATTATTTTAAGTCATGAGACTAAAATTATACTTAAGTAACAATTTTCAATAACCCTTCCAGATAGATTAGTTTTAAATGTGTATCAATGCTATTTCAATTGTATTTTGGCAGAATCCAGTTTGGTGTGCCTCTAGCCAGGAACCAACTCATGCAAAAGAAGATGGCTGACATGTTGACTGAAATCACCCTCGGGTTACAGTCCTGCCTGGCTCTGGGGCGGCTGATTGATACAAAAAGGTATATTTAGAAAGGTTAGATTAATCTAGTCTCTTGCACATAATTTATGCATGTATAATTGTATTTATTTTTCTACTATGGCAGTGCGGCCCCAGAAATGATCTCTATGCTGAAGAGGAATAGTTGTGGCAAAGCTCTGGACATTGCAAGACAAGCCAGGGACATGTTGGGAGGAAATGGGATTGCGGACGAGTACCACATCATTCGTCATGTTATGAACCTGGAGGCAGTGAACACTTATGAGGGTAAATATGAATGTATTGTTCTTTAACGTCAGTCACTGCTTGTTTCATGTTGAAAACTCTCCCTCTAGAGGGCAGCATTGTTCTTTCTAATTTGACCAAAGTGTAAAACATTATGTACTGTTGCCTGTGTAACTTCTATTAAAATTCAGTGTTTCTGTTTTATAGGAACCCATGACATACATGCACTTATCTTGGGAAGAGCTATCACTGGACTTCAGTCATTTACTGTTGAAAAGTAAATGTTTAATTTCCTAAACTGATTGTATTGATGCAAAATACAGAAATTATATATTATAAATAGAGTGTTTCATTGTTGTAACCATGTTATGTTTGGGATAGTATTGTTCCTCATAGGAACCATTTTACTTATTTTACACTAAGATGTTTGTACAGGGAGATAACGAGAACAAAAATATAATTCTATGAACTTATTAAAGACGATGACTTGTAACAAACAAGTATCAAATGGATTTATCACAAATTAAACATGCTAAAGGCTTGTGATGTTTGTTTATTTTTGTAAGTCACACAAAATGAATAATTACTAATTTCAGCCGCTAAGTAGTTTAGTCAGCGGTTGGTATTTCAGTGGAGGAGGTGTGATAGGGCCTGGGTGGCCTCCAGCAGCTCATGATAAAGTTGGTCACAGTTGCTCAAAATCTCAGACAGCTCTGCCAGTTTTTCCTCTATCTTAACGTTGTTGTCCTCATACACAGTGAACAGCTGATCCTTCATCGACTGACACATATCTAACAGCTGGTCACAGCAGAATGAATATACAGCATTGTGAAATTTAATACAAACACAACAATAACATACCTTGTCAGATAGTTCTTTCTGATAGGTGTCGATTTCTTTTTGATCACTGGAACGGCTTGTGTTGATTCTTTCCACCAGTTGTTCCACTTTACTTCTGATATCATCAAGGCTTATATGTCCATATAATGGACACCAAAAATGTATTCAATTATTAATTCACTTTAATTACAAACGCAATGGTATTTAGTTTGAAACAGTCTTTTACCTGGAAGTCTGGTCAGCCAAATTCACGCTTAAGTTATTGTCTCCCATTGACAACGTGCAAGAAATCTGCTATTTCAAATATATAATGAATCATGACGTACAAAGGCGGTTCATTTAATTTGTGAAAAAAAAGTTGAATTAGTGGGATGGGTCAGTGCAATAATACATTAACAAACCGTGTTCGCTTCGGGAGAAGTGGGCGCAGAACTTGAAGTAGAAGGTAGCTCTTTGTCATAGAAATAATCCATGTCGGTTTGTCTCTGAAAAAAGCAACGTGACTTTGAGAGCGACCGTTAGCTAAACATTTATGCTAGCAGTGTTAGCTTAGCTTGCATTAACTTTATGAAAAAGTAACGTCAGTCGTCCTCGTCACTTCGAAACAATCATTAAAAGGATTAAGTTTCGACTTAAAAGTGCACACATTTCGTTGTATAGACTGATGACATATATACATACAATAAAAATGAGCTGTAACGAGCAGTTGAACTAATGATTTACAGTTTGTATGCTCGAACTATACTTTTTTTCCCATGCGGGTACTTGTACACAAGCTGTTGATAAATGTCTTGTGTGGAGGAGAAATAAAAAAATGGATATTTATTTAGTATATAAAATGATAAGAGACACTAACTACTTTAGGTCTTAGCTATATATCTCTGCATACTCTGGCGGACTCACCACCTGTTTTTAAGTCGCTTCTTAAGACTCAGGTTTTTACTTTTAACTCAGTGGGTTGAGTTTCTGCGCAATTTGTATTCTTATATATGTTTCTATATTATGTAAGGATTTAAGCAGACAGAGACGGATCGTGGCGTGCCAAACTCTGGAAGTTTATTTAAGTTGCTCTCAAGTTCCACTGGTTTACTCTGTTTCTTTTCCTCAGACAGAATAAAGGCAGTACACAGTTTATATAGTCATTGTCACGTCACACATCGAAAGACATACGTGTCACAAAGAGACAGTCACATCATAGTCATAACATGGAGTCCTTGTAGAGTCCTTGTACAGTCCTGCACGTAGGCCATATTGCTATCTAATACTAATACCCTCCCCTTTGATCACATAATCACATGTGATCACTCAATTTGATCAATCAATAAAGTGGAAAAAGAAAAAAAAAAAAAAAAAAAAAAATAATTCCAAAAAAAAACTTTAAAAAATTATTAAAAACAAAGAAAATGTATGCATTAAACTCATAATCATCAAATCAATATCAGTGGATTTTATCCTCCATCCTGGGAAAAAAATAAAAAACAAAAATAAAGTAAATAAACAAACAAAAAACAAATCAAAAATAAAAACAAACAAAAATAAAAACAAACAAAAACTATTGGACACACAAGAACTCAGCAGATTCAGTCAAAACACAGACAAAAACGAGCTGAGTCTCAAATTTGAAGCTAATTTCACTTTTATTACTCTATACTTTTATTCTAATGCTAATTGTTTACACTACACTTCACTTATTTCACTGTATTATTTTCACTTTTTAATCTTAGACTGTGTACTTTACTTTCACTATTCACTATAGTTTAAAACTATTCTAATCTATTCACATAAATCTCTCTGTTCTGTGGTTTACACTCTAATTATCAGTGGCATATTATTAGTGGGATTTTGCTCCATGTCTATTCTCATTCTCAGGAATAAAACTGTGAACACAGTAAGGCAAATGGTCAACATTTACACTTCTATAGTGGTCAGTGATTTATTACTTTTTATTATCTAAAGATATTATTGTCAGGCAGTTTGGGATGAATGAACATCTTTAATCAAATTATTATTATCCTTACAAGAGCTAATCTATTTTAGCAGGTTTGGGGTTGGGGTCAGTTATTCTACAATGGTGTTTGTGCTGGAAACTTCTCAATATCTAAATATCTACTATTGTGTTTTTGTGCTATACACAAATGCATCAAAATGCTTTTAAATGCTTTTGAATCTCTGTTGGTTCTAATCTATCTCATTGATCTAGGCATTAATCTAGGCTACACTCATATGAACTTTTTGTATTGTCAACATTCACCGATGTTTGAACACAAGTGAATTTGGCAATCTCTAATAAAACTGTACATAAACTGTAATTAACTTTATTTACTTCTGAAGTAAATGCTTGTGAAATGGTCCCTTTACCATTTGATATTAGCACTGGCTAGAAATAATCTCTATTTTTGAAAGCATCTATGGTTGATGCTTTTATCTATCTCTATTTTTACTCTATTTTTTAACTCAAAAGCTCGGCTGCAGCTTGAGCAAAGGCATATTTCTAATTTGTGACTTCTGTCACTTTTAATGGCTGTAACATAACTCTGATTCTAATATTTTAGCTGATCTATCAAAAGGATAACATTGTAGGGTACTATTTTAACTCTTACGTGGAAATATGTTTATGAAAAACAAAGGAAGTCAAATTCTACTCTTTTACTACTATTTAACATCTACTAAAACGCTACAATACTTATACTTTATCATTTTCAAACATTTTAACAGTTGCTCAGTCTACCAGACTAAAAAAGTCAAAGTTTTTGTCTGTCAGATGTCTGAATACTTAACATGTATATTGCATTTGGTCACAGTTGTGGTTCTGGTTGTAGCAATAGCATCAGCAATAGACGTTTCATTGGCTGGTTCTTGTTCTGCAAATCGGCTGTGTCCAATAGATCATCAGATGTCCAGAAGCTAGGGACAAACAAAAACAAAAGAAAGAATCATGAGTATCTGTCTCATTTAGCACTCATCAATGGCATTATTTCAATAATATAAACATCACTCCCCAGTTTTCTCTCTCTCAGATCCTCAGGTCCTCAGATCCTCAGGGTCCCCTGAGGGTGAGTCTCAGTCGTCATCAGGTCAGGTCATATTTCGAGAGATGTTATCTTGGACATCAGTAGGGTCCAAGCCATGGTTCTGGTCACTCCAGATGCACATCAGATCTCCAGATACAGTCTTTTCACTTGAAGCACATCAGGTCATTTGCGATGCACTTCTGGTCAATGGTGCAGTCTCACAGTTCCTGTACACAGCTTGTTATGCAATAGTTACTCTCTATGGTTAAGTCACTTTGATTCTACTTTAACACAATTTCTATTCATGCTGTTGCTAATGTCCCTCAGACAAAAAGCAAGCGCAGTTTACTTCTCTAATTTGTGTTTTTATCAGATCTAATTCTCATCAATGTAATTACTTCACACAGTACAAAATCAAAACATCAAAAGTGTCAGGACAGAGGTCAATTAAGTCCATGACAATATAGAATTCAAATGAACATTTCTGGTCTCAAAAAATACTGATTCAAGTGATAGACAATTAAAAATATGTGTTTACATTGGAGTAAACTTTTAAAATGCTTTTTTCTCATGTTCTGCTTTTTCATGTATCTATATGTAAATGTGAATGTGTGAGTGTATGAGTGTGTATGTGTGTGTGTGTGTGTGTGTGTGTATGAATTTTGGGGTTGTGTCTCCAGACTCCTCGAACCACCCGTAGGTCTCAAAGGTCACACTGTGGTGATGCAAACCACCTGGACACACTCTCAACTCCCTCTAGGTCTCTACCTGACGCTCCACCCATCACGTCTCCAGATACCTCTCTTTCATGGCCCCGGTCTCTCTCACACCCACTCAGTTCTGCAGTGGCGTGGGGAGGGGCAAGGAGGTGGCATTTCCCTTTGCTCTTTGATCTGTGACCTGTGGCTGGGTGGGCTTTGCGCTGTCCAGTGTCCAGCAGTGACCTCTCGTACAGTGTGTGCTCTTGGTTCTGGAAAACAACCTTATAGCCAAATTAAAAACAACAGAGATTGTGAATGAGATTGTTTTTCTCTCTGAAGTCAAAACAATTTGAGCGCTCTGGGTTTTCCCAAGCGCTATGTAAATAAAGATTACTTATTCTCTTACTAATGATGACATTTAAAACCAGAAACTCTCAATATAAAAAACAAGACTCAAATCTCAAAAACCTTTTAAACTTTAAAAAATGTATTCTATTTTGTACTTCTGTACTGTGTGATGTTTTTAATCTTGAACATCTTGGGTTTCACTTTATGGACTTTCCCTTTTACACTTATTTATCTCAGCATCTATTCTACTAATTTAAAATAATTGCAGCATTTTTCAAATGAAGTCAGTATGAATTGGAGCACATTTTAGACCAGGCTCCTGTGCTGCGTGCATCTGCAGCAGGAGGAAGGTCAGGTGCATAGTCAAAACAAAAACAAAAGTCACCACTTGAATGTGAATTGGGTGAATTGGGTAGTTTAACTTAATAATATAATATTTTTACAGCCTAATTCCCTCTTTCTTTTTTAGACGAAGTCTACAATCATTAATCACTTTTAACAGATTCTAATTTAAATGTTTGAAAAACGGCTTTTGTAACTAAAATAAAAAATACATGAAAAAATTCTCACTAACAGCTATGAAATATATCAGAGATACAATAATGGACTCACAAAATAAGCAGCAGATTTAAAAAGAAAAGCAAAGCTTTTTGTACTAATCTTTGGGTTTCAAAAACATACTAATTCAAAACTTCTATTCCCTAATGGTGTTTAAAAACGTTTAACTGTGTCTAACACAATGTTCAATGGCAAATTTCGCAAATTTAACGGAATAACTACTATGAAAAGCCAAAAGTCCTAAAGCAGTAGCTCCCCTTTAAATCAGAGCAGCAGCTCAGCAGCAGCGAGGGCGGGGGGGTTCCTTTCACACAGACGCGCACACACAGGCAGAAAGACACAGAAGAAGAACTTTCAAGATTACTTTGTTAAGCGAATATAACTTATGTTGTTCTTTATACTTTTGTCATCCAAATCTAGAAGTGATCACTTTCCACACTAGTAACAAAAGGCACTCTTTAGTGTTTAACGTTTCCCTTTTTATAATTACTTTTAATTCACCATGGTTTCTCTCAAAGGGACTTTAACCCTGAAGCTTCTTCTCAAAGGGACTTTAACCCCGAGGCTTTTCTCAAAGGGACTTTAACCCCGAGACTTTCTCAAAGGGACTTTAACCCCGAGGCTCAAAGGGACTTTAACCCCCGAGACTTTCTCAAAGGGACTTTAACCCCGAGGCTCAAAGGGACTTTAACCCCGAGACTTTCTCAAAGGGACTTTAACCCCGAGGCTCAAAGGGACTTTAACCCCGAGAGACTTCTTCAAAATACAATTTAGAGAGTTTGACAGACCCCAAAAAACACACCAAAATTTAGCTAATATCCAATTATGCAGACTTTACATATTAAAAAAGGTGTCTGCTTACCTTATTCTTGTCAAACCGGTTCCAAGGACTGTCCGAGAGGTCTGCCAACTCTTTTCCGCGTCGGAATATTCAATTTAAAAAAAAAAAAAAAGTGACAGAAGCGACAAGAAGCATCCAGGAACAGCTCTTCCAGCCTGCTGGAATCTCCACTCCCAGACACAGCATGCCGATCTCCCACGCAGAGGAAAAGAAACAGAGCAAACTCCCCCAAAACAATCCAGAGAATGGCACAAACCGAGCCGCGCATTCTCCACCAAATCTGTTAGGATTCAGCAGACAGAGACGGATCGTGGTGTGCCAAACTCTGGAAGTTTATTTATGTTTCTCTCAAGTTCCACTAGTTTACTCTGTTTCTTTTCCTCAGACAGAATAAAGGCAGTACACAGTTTATATAGTCATTGTCACGTCACACATCGAAAGACATACGTGTCACAAAGAGACAGTCACATCATAGTCATAACATGGAGTCCTTGTAGAGTCCTTGTACAGTCCTGCACGTAGGCCATATTGCTATCTAATACTAATAATTATATTGTGTTTTTAGACTTGTGTTCAGCACTTGGTCAACTGTGTCGTTTTTTAAGTGCTCTATAAATAAAGTTTAATTGAATTGAATATACTTAAATAAAGTAAGCTTGAAATAAGTAACATGAAAATTTTATGCTAAATCAGCTAAATTCTCTATGACCTGACTGTGTAGACTTGACATGACTGAGGTCTTTCAGGTCATGACCATGGCCATGATCCACTGACTAAACTAAAACCATAAGCCTCAGATCTTGTTAAAGGTCAGGACTTTTGTCACTTTACCAAAGATGTAACATTGCTGTTTTAAATGACCTCATCTGTGACAGTCCTAAACAACATACAGCACCATAAACATAAAAAAAAAAACCAAAAAAAAAAACCTTTTTGACGGCAATGTTCAATTTCCCATAATGTCACAGCTCTTAAAGGGTATACAGCAACTGTGAGCAGACAGGGCCTGTGGTGAAGAAAGTGGAGACTGCTGGATTGGATTAGGCTAATCTGAGTGGCAGATTGGAGGGACAGGGCACAGGGCTGATTGACCTGACCTGGACTGTATGATGATCTCGTCCCCTCCCTCTCTCCTCACTCATTAATCCCTGTAGAGCTCACATACATGCAGTTGGACTATCAGACAAAACCAACCCTGAGGAACGCACAGTCAGCACCATATTTTGAGTTATTATTTTGTATTTAATCATTGAATGACAGCAGCACAGTGTCTCTTCTGTTTGGATTTGTCATAGAAGATGGCCTAACAAGTTGAATTTCTTCTTTCGTGTTCTTTTATAGTTTCATCTTTTTTGTTTAGATATTCCTGATAACTGCTTTATTCAAACAATGATGGACTAATTTCAAATCTGTCATCCTGGAGATTCTGGGACTATGGACAGCTTCAACTTCACAGACGAAGGTGGGCGCTCGTTCCAATATTTAGTCCAGAATGTGGAGCCTCTCTATAAAGAATACAAGCCTCCTCCCAGAGACCTGATCCAGCTGCCCAAATCTGTGATATACCTCCTCATGGCTGCGCTGGTGGTGGTCGCTGTGGCCTATGCCATCGTGGGGCATCTCATCAAAGACTTAATGCTGGATATAACAGGTATTTCACTATAAAATTACATTTTGGCCAGTAATATTGACAGTCTGAAAATATTTTTTTTGTTATTTGTTATTGACATTTTGACATAATCCCACAGGCCACTGTTTCTGTTATGGGTAGCCATCAACATAGTTGGCACTATGTTGATAGCCAGAACGTATCTTCTTGCTAAGTCACTGATTTATATTATTATTTTGTTGTCCCAAACCATGTGTTAAAAACTGTATTTTTGTGTTGGTGCTGTTGCTTTTGGAGAATGAAGATTTAGAAATTAGTTCCAAATTGATTTAAAAAAAAAAATCATGTATATTGGATGATAAATCATTCATAAAATGTCCCAATTCTTTGTATGTTGATCATAGACTGTAGAAGAACAGTCTCTGATGTTGTATTTACACTGCCCCATTCAAAATAAAATAAAAAGACTGGCTGCTTTGGGCGTTCATGGGCCCAAGTGAGTGATGTCGAGATCCTTTGATCAAGTGATAATTTGGTTCATTATATAACGGAAAATCGGAATCATTTAGAAACATAAATTACTTCTAAAAGTAAATATCACGTCAATATTTTATCATTTGCTAAACCATAATTACACAATTATTATATTTATAAATCTAGCTGAAGAGGAGGAGGGCAGGTAGCGTATGTGTAAGTCTTTAATTGAATTATTGCAATTTTGGTCATTTGTAATTGCTTTTATCTCAGTTTTATCTCAATATCATCTCGATATTAGGATTACGTCTGTGTATGATCTTCAGTAAATGTGACATCAAAATGATTTTAACAAACCCAAAGCAATCACACTAATAATTCACAGATTAAGAGATCCTTTATTTGTCCCAGTTTGGGGAAATTTCAGTCACAATTAATATAGATAAAGAAAAGCTGATTTCAAATATATTGGCATTGTGAAACCAAGTTTGAGAATCTGTCTTAATTTCACATAAATATCTCTACAACTATATGACCTCACTAAATGCTCATTATTTTTATTGTCATGCATTTGATTTCCAGATTGCTTGTTAGGGCCTTTCGAGGATGATCTGAAGAAGGATGTGGAAGCAGAAGGCCGGGGCCAGCTGCACATCCCGGTCTCCGTCAGCCACACGCACCAAAACGCCTTCCACGTGTGGGAACAGGACGACGTCATCATCCCCATGACGCCCCGCCCCGATAGCCCCGCCCACAGCCCCATGATGGCAGTGATCCCCTACATGCCGTCCTTCTTCCCCCATGCCCTGCACCACATGAGCAGCCCCATGCACATCAGAGCCTACCTGAGCCCAAAGGAGAGTGAGGACAGAGCGGACGATTCATGAACGAACAACAAAAACCACTGGTTGCACAACTTTATAGATTGCTTAACAACTCGGTGCGGCTCGATAGTCTATGGGCTCTCCTTTACCCCACACCTCAGCAACAGAGGGTTACATTTCCCCTCTGTGGGACAAATAATGGATCTCTTTTTCTTAATCTTAAAGGAGATATTCAAGTGTTTCAAGCTTCTACTCATGTTCCTTCATCAAACACAGACCTGGAGTTGTTTTTAGATCCATCCATGCTATTATCAGGAACTTCTGGCACAATTGTCCCACTGTGACATCACACTCAGAGCAGTTTTCTTCCTTCCAATACAAAACTAACATCCATTGATTAGTTTTGGCAATTTCTTTAGTGAACTGACGTTCTTTACAAACGCTACATCCGCTTGCAAAGAAAACAACATAAATCCTCCACCAATTCCTCTGGTGGTAGCATACAGTGCATTTGAAAAACGCTATTTATACTTGATACGTTATTTTCTACTTAAGTATTTTATCATCTTAAATATGAAATAACAAAGTAAATCGTTTCGTTAACTATATTAATGGCCAATGTTTAAAGCTGAGGTACTTTGTTTTGTAGTTTCTGTTATTCTGTCTGTACTGTTAAAATACAACTTTTCATCAAATATACCTCTTTCCATATATTGTTATCTTTAGTTTAACTCATTACAGGTTTGTTTCAGTACATGTGTCCATCTGCTGCATTTCTGTTCACAGCAATAGGACATTTATTTATCAAATCAAAAAAGGCAATCATTCTAGTCTTTGTGTATTTGATGTGAACAGAAAATTAGAAAGAAAATAATTATTAACAATATCACTATTTGTGGTGTTGGATGTGAAAAATTGCAAAGCTACCACTTGAGTTTTGTAATACGAAAGAAATGCGCTATTGTTTGTTTTAAAGTGCCTACATTCATCATATGTTGAGGCCCTTTTGTTTTGACCCGTCAAATCCAGGCTGTGTTCAAACAGCTGGATTGTGGCTTGAACACAGATGTGCAGATGGATTTGTTTAGTCCGATTACAGACAGTCTCTGTTACACAACATAAAAACACAGATTCTTGGTCTCTTGTGACTCTCAACTGGAAACACACACACAAAAAATCAGTATATTGTCAAATTACTATGAAAAACATTTATCATCTTAACTTTGTGTTTGAAAAATCATTTTGAAGTGTAACTTAATGTTTTAATGCAAATTGAATCGGAAGTATCTGTAGTAGGATTGAGATTAGGAGGGAAGGGATTAGATGAGAAGCTTATCTTTTAATACATTGGGCTTTTATCACAGCGACAGAATGATATTCAGACTTGTTTCTTTTATTTAGAAGAATGATCTTAAACCTATTGTCATTACCATTATGTCCACAATACAGAGATAATGTCACACTTTCTAAGGGTGACATTAAGGACAAAAAATAGCCTTCTTGGCTAATTCTGGTGCACTTACAGAAATGTTCATTAATGCACAATGTTTACACAGGGGAAATAATGATAAATAATGATAAATTAGGCTGTGAAATTGTGAAAAGAGGATAATGGGTTGTAATAGTTTTTTTTTGCCCTTTATTGGACACGAGAAGCAGGTATATTTAGCTTTGATCATCTCTCAGCGTATATCACATATTCTCAAACATAAATATAAAAGGCTACGACAAATAGAGATGAAAATATTGAGACTCCAGAGTGTAGTTTGTAAGAAAATAATACTGTATGTGATGTTTGAGTTGCATTTGTGTGGTCGGTCGTTTCCTTTGAGTGGCTCGAGCTTACGTCAGCCTGAAATGATCTGTCCTTGACTTTCCCCGCTGAGGGCTAAGACTGGCAGTCTTATTGGGATTAACTTACTTCTTCCACTGAAGTGGCAACGTGACACTAACAAATTGTAACATATACTGATTGGATTAAGTTAAAGCCAATAAATACCAAACATTTAGACTGAACATTTTCTAACAGATTAATCAGAACAAAAGTAATTACATGTTACAACGTGAGCGCACCAACACAGGCAAACTTTACTTTATTGGCACTGGCACGGATGTTCCGGCTGTGATAAATAGAAAAAAACAAATTAACATTTAAGTTGTTTCATGAGATTAAAAACAAAAAAGTACCGCTAGATACAAGATTTAAATGAAGGAAGTCAAAAGATAAAAAAAATCAATTCTGATGAAAACAAGAGCATGCAGAACCAAAAATAGAAAAAAGGTTTTCACTACTACAAAGATCTCAAACACATTTCAGTCCTAACCATTCATAAGTACCATCTTTTGGCGAGCAATAAATATACTGTTCTTTGGAGCTTTGTACTTGTCTAAACCTTTTTTCTATTTTACATCCAAATGAAAAAAATAAGGTTTATGAAAGAGATGTGTATCATACTTTACAGTGGATTAGTCCAGTTTCCTCTGAGGGAGAATAGTACGATAAAGAGATGTGCCTTTAGCCTGATAGAAGGTAACGATCATTTTGTCCTGTGCCACCTCTACATGAACAAACCCTCCCATTGTTGAGGCCTGTCCTGTAAAGAACTTTATCGAGCCTTTAGGCACATGGTTCCAGTGACGGACATCTGGGTCCAGGAAGTTTCCTGCTCCACTCACCACATATCCCACACCGGACTCCTCTATGTACTGAGAAGAGAAAACATGTTATGTATATTACAGTGAACGTTTGTACAGTATGTACAGTATCTATGGAGGACTTCTTGTCGGTACAGACCTGCAGGTTGTGGTCATGGCCGCAGAGGTAAGCTGTCGCCTTGTGCTTGACAAGCAGAGGCTGCACCTGCTGCACCAGACACTTGGTGGGCCCATGTTCAGACACTGACCACACAGGGTAATGTCCGGCCACCAGAAGGAAGTCTGCCTGAGAGCGGGCGATCCGCTCCTGCAGCCACACCAGCTGACGGTTTGCCTCTGTCCTCCGCAGAGGTCCTTTGGGCTGTTTGTTTGAGTTGTCGTTGGAGTTTCCACATAACATCACAGTGTCCAGCATGATGATGGTCAGCGTCTTGTGAGTGTTGGGAATGTGGAAGTTCAGTTCATAATAATACGCTGGAAATTTCCTACAAACAAAGACTAATAAGACAAAGATAGGACACTGTAGATATCACTGTCTGGGACATACCATCTGTTGGAGCGCTGGCTGTACTCGATCTGTGCCTTTACATTTCCAATATGGTCGTGGTTTCCGGCCAGGACGTACCAGGGAATCCTCAGAGACTTGGCCGTATAGACAGACTCAAAGGTGCTCTGCACATTAACATAATTTAGAAATATATATCGATGAAACTAAATATCAATACATTGATTAAACAGGAAATTAATTGAAAATGTACTTTGAATCGAGGCGAGTCCACACTGTCCACACCTTTGTAGTAGAAGTTGTCTCCGAGGGCCAGAACAAAGTCTGCACCCACCTGCTCTGCTACTTTACTCATCTCCTGAGCTGAAGCCTTCTGCACAGCAGTGATGTATGGAGGATAGGGCAGTCCTCCCCAATCACCTATGGCCAAGAACTTTATAGAAGTCCTATTTTCTGCAAAGGAAAAAGTACAATAAATGTTAGCAAGATAAATATGTTATGTAATTTTCATATACAACTATTTTTTTTCTTATGCTACATGCTCTTGTGCTCTTATGTTTAAAAAATTTAAAACTTTAAATTTTTTAAAGTTTTTGAGAGTGTAAACCCAGTGTTTAAATGAAAAAAAAATGTATAAAGCAGCAGGTGGTGGGTAGTTTTATATGAAAACAAATGTTAAAGTAACACTAACACACCTCCAGGTAAAGTCAGGTTTGTGGAAGATCCCTCAGTAAAACAGTTTTATATACTTTTTCAGTTTTAGTCCATCATTAGGCGACATTAATGACGACAGAGACAACAACATAAATTGTTTGGTACTTACTGCCAGACTCAAGTTCCTGGAACACAGCTGGGAAACAGGAGGTCACCGGGATGACGATTAAGAGTGAGAGCAGAGCAAGTGCCATCTTTAAAAGAAGTTAAGTTTATTAGAATTGAAACCTAAATAAAATCCATTAGTTAAAATATAGCATGACCCCAATAATAATGAAAAGTAGTTAACAAAAAGGTGAAGAGCATAGAGTGAAATAAATTGTTGCTTGTGACGCAGAAGTAAACACTGCAAGTTTAAATACGCCCCTCTACTCCTCCCCTGCACTTCAGATGCTATCTGATTGGCTAAGAAACTGATCAAAACATGCAGCAGTGGAGGTTAAGGGGCACAGTGCATCAATGAATCCATCAACAGACTTTGTGGTGAGTGGTTTCATGAGATAGAGCAACTCACAGCTGATAAGTATGGCCTCGTGGACCCTCTCCATCTGCAGCCTGCTCCTCGGGCTCGGCTTTATAACTCCACACCAGAGACGCGTGATCACAAGAGCATATTCTTGACTCAGTCGAGACTAAAGCATTTTTAAGGCAGCATGTGACTAAGCCTGTAATATGGTCTCCAGACTTTGTGGAAAAGGTTCATCACATCCTCCTATATTCTGGTCTATTTATTTCTATGGAAACAATCATACTTCTCTATAATATTTAAAGACTTTAAGCCCATTTGACTTCAACACATTTATATGTTCTGGCTGCTACAAATTTCTATTAAATCATTGAATACACATTTTGGACAAACATGTATAAATAAATTAAAAGTCTTATAACAATCATTAAGGAGTCAAAATCATTCCACTAAAATAATTTATTTTACAAGTGGGAGAGCACACAAATTTACTCTTAGCTTTAACAGTGGTGTTTGAAAGAACAGTAACAGAATCATGTGTTTATAAAAACAAAAACTAAAGACTAATTGTGGTACTTCCAGTCAACACCAAAACAATGCAGTCCTCCATGGAAAAGCAAGAAACGCAATCCTGTTTTTTTATACATCCAACATCAAGTAAGGTAAAAGGTGATATAAAATAAATCATAATCCAATAAAATGCACCAGAATGTCTCTTAATAACTAGTGCCACTGTAACCCGGATACGCGCTCTGGTCTTGTCCGGTGTAACCCTGGTATGCGTAGTGCTGACCGTCCCAGGTCTGTTGGCCCCAGCCTAAAAAATGATTAAAACTGGTTAAAATAAAAGCAACAGTATATGCAGTATTTCAACAACAGACTTTTTCATGTTTCAAACATGGCCAGAGGACTGTGCAAAGTTCCAGAGTAATCAGATGAAAATAATTAGATCAATTATGGTTTTTTTCGTCTGTACCAAGAAACCGGCCGTAAATGATGAAGTCAGTCACATAATGGACCGGTTTAAGGACGACTGAGATTAAGTCTCAAATGTTTTCATCACTGGAAACACCAATCAAAGAAACTAGATTATGTATCGAGACACTTCAGAGAAACAATTATTGTTTTAATAGATTACACACTTTCTGTTAGGATATGTCAACGTTGGTGGAATTATGTATGGTTTACAAAAAGATAACTTTATCATTTTGATTGATTGACCAGAAGTATAGATAGAGATAACTACTGCCTGTTTTTGTCATTTACATATTTTTGGTATATGTAATGTACCTAGAATGTGTGTATTTCCTTATAGTTTTCATGGTGTGAAGTTGTTGACTGTGATGGAGAGAATAAATGTTTTGTGAACTTCAGTACAAAATCGCTGAGTTGTTTTTAACAAAGATAAACCAGGGGCAGTTAAATTTAGTGTGAATGTAAAAGTTATTTTTCTTAAAAGAAAAAAAAAAATCCAGGCTCTTCACAAATAAGATTAAACCATATTCTTATTTGATGATCCATAAATGTCACACAATAAGCCACTTCTTGAACAAAGACTTACCATAGTTATTATACTCCTGCCCCCCTGTCACGGAGCTCGGGTAGGCGGTTGGGTACATGGAATAATCTTGCTCTTGAGTTAGCATCTTCTTTTTCTCTCCTCCGTAGCCATAGCTGTAGGGACTCTGCTGGTCAACAGGGGGCGGCATTGCGGTATAATCTGGTTGAGTAGTGACGGCGACAGCGGCTGCAGGGTTTGAGACTGGTACAGCAGAGTATGTGGTGGTGTCGGGGTAAAAGGTCCCATATGAGCCAATGTTGTCCGCTGTGCTGGCATCACCGCTGCCATAGAGTTTATCTGTAAAACGAGATGCTTAAGTTCAATATGTTCTCATTTAGTCATTTGGAATCTACCAAACACCAATCAGGCATGACATAATGACTGTAAATGATCACTACTGTATAGTTACCAGTGCCTCATCTGGATATTCAAGGTAAAACATACAAGTAAACAGAAGAAGTAAACAGATATTAGTTTGAGCTTTAGCCTTTCAACCGCTAATCGACATAATCAGCCATTTTTGTTTACATGCTGACAGTTCTACAAAGCCTCAGTCTCGCAAACCAATAGTTGATGGATATTAAGATGTTGATTCAGGTCGTAACACACACAAGTTATGCCTGATGGGTGCATATTTGGTCAATGTATTCTTAAGAGGACACGTACGATAGCTTGAGCCAGAGTTGCTTTCATAGCTGTAGTTGGCTTTTAAAAACAGGAAGAAAAGTCAAAGAAGTCCAAGTCATCCCCTTGTGGAAAGATGTGAGCATTTCCTTACTTTTATTGTAACTGGGACCAGCACTTGACTTGTCTCTGCCCCTGCCCCGGCCTCTGCCACGAGACCCATTGTCTGTAGGGATCCCACGGATAGTGCCAAAGCCTGGGATGTGCTGGACAGCGGGGACAAATGATATTAAGCCCGTTGTTTGGACATTTCGAATCATTAAAAAGGGGTCAGTAAGGTAGGTTTAAAATACGTCTTACCATATCTGTGTATGTGACCTTCTTCTTTTGATAAAATCTTGTTTCATCTTCAGGGAATAATGCCTCCAAAGCAGCAAGAGCAGCACGGGCCTTCGCCTCCTTTTTGTTTGAGCCACTTCCTTTGAACTTTTGCCCATCGACATCCACCTACAATATTTTCATCATTGTTATATTCTACGTGGCAACTTTTAGCATATACACACATTGAATATACTGACCTCGATAACAAAGCACTTCTCATGAGATCCCCCAGTTTCTGCAGAGAGCTCATACCTCAAACTACGGCGCTTTTCATTTAATTCCATCACTGGATTTTTTCCATGTTTGGTCAGAATGGCTCCAAGGACTCCCTGCCCAAAAATGTGATGTTAAAGATCTTTCTGTGTCACATGTCGAAATGACAGGAAACATGCACACCTCTTCTGATCCAGTTTTTGTCGCAGCTTTAACCCCATCTTGCCCTCCACTGGAACCATTAGATTCTGCTGGAGCAGTAGAAAGCCCAAGCTCTTGCAAGACCTACAAAAGTCAGTATTTACATATGTCCCTGCATGAGTTTACAGGGCTAGTTAAAACATACCTTGGTGGCTACATTAATCTTTGCAGATCGCTTGGAACGGCCAGTAGCTTCAAAAGTCTTTCCATTGAAGTCAACCGCCATCGTGAACACTGGCTCATGCACAGGGCCACTTTGAGATGTGAGACGGTATGCCAGGCCAGGCCTGTACTGGTTTAGACGCATTACAGCATTCATGTTTATATCATCGCTGACTGGAGGAGGCAAAGAATCACATCCAATTACTGTGTGGCAATTGTCAACCAAAGAATGGCCAAACAAACTATATTAGTTACAAACCTGGTTTTCGCTGAAAGCGCTTTTGAAACTTGCGTTGTTTACTGTTCAGATGTGACTGTTCCTTTCCCGTGTCTACAGCTGAAAAGGGTCTCTTAGCCGGTGGGTAACCGCGTGGTCCAGGAGCTACATCACAATATACAACATTTCCATTTTTGAGGTTTGTAAAGGGGTTTGTATGCTAGATTACCTGAAGTATTTGCAGAGGAGGCCTCGTGTTTCTGGGGTTTTTTAGGTTTAGCACCCATTCCCAACACCTTGTGTATCTGCCCAAATGCCCAAAGCCTCAAGATATGCTGTAGAAAAATAAAATAAAAGGTGTTTTGTAAACTTGGAGTGGAGACAAAGTTTATATACACCTTAACACCACATAAATAATGTTTTCTCATTTAAGGATAAAATATTTGTTTTTCTTTGAAAGACAAAGTCAGAAGTTCACATGGGAACTTGCATGAACTATTGACATTTCGAGATGATGCAGGTGTTTGTGGGGATAGATCACCTGTGCATTGTTTGTGATGTCTTCGCGTTGTTGCGTTGACAAGTGTTCAATGGCATCCAAGGGATCCTTCTCACAGGGGTCCTTAATTCCTGCACCATCTGTGTAAAAAATGAATAAAAGATTAGCCATTATCTATAATAACTTAATTGTTAAACTTTGTAAGCAACCTTTATAAAGTATTCCAGTAGAGATGGATTCAAAGACTCTGCGCAAAGCCTCTCCAGCTCCCAAAGGCCTTTCGGAAGTTACAATGGCTTTTTCCACAAGCAGCTCAAGAGGCTAATCAAAACATACAGTTAAATGTTAAGTTTCAACGCAGAATTAATTCTCACTAACGCAATTCCCACCCAGCGATGATCCCTCCAGGTAGAGTTTCCTCTGGCACCAATGGAACGTGCAATGCGTAAAAGCTTAATGCGGACATGATGAAATCATAGGAACCATTATTTCTGGAGCGTGCTTCAACTTCTGAACACTGTGAAACAATTTCAAACTTGTTGTGTTTGGAAATCTTACTTTTGGTAATGTCAATAAATTTGGTGATGTGACAGCTCAAGTAGGCGGTCAGTATCAGTACCAATATACAATACAGGTATCGGTATCTGTGCATCCCTTATTACTTATAAAATCAAAACTTACCCATCCAGAGAGTGGCTGCCAGGTAGGCACACGGTTACACAAGTCCCTCAAGATTCGGATCACAACCAGAGCAGACCCCAACTCGCTGACTTTGGCCTAATAAAGAAGAAAAAAACGTGTATATTTGGCAATGTTTTCTGACAGTTAAATGAGCAAATCTCACAACTCTATTTGGGAATACAAGGTTAATTTTGAGATGGCTCAATGACTGATTACTCTTTTCACATTGGAAAATTGTTCAAATGCAAATTTTGTCAACGATACTATTGAGTCAGATTGACTTTTTCAAATGAATATGAAAAGGAGTTAATATTATTGAAGACTAGACAATCGTACAAATAAGGACGTGAATGCAAACCTGGAACCACTTGGCATGACGAAGAGATGCCAAGGCAGTCAGGCATTTCTGCCTGTCCAGAACGTCCGGCGGATCGCTGACCGTTTGCGTTTCTATTGACGAGGTGGAGTAAGAAGAAAAGGTACAGTTTGACCAAGGGCTTGGCTCTGTCTTGAAGTTTATAGAGTAGCGGCTTTCCCAAACTAAAAGTATTAAGAAAGGAGAAACTAAGTTCCTGACTAAATGTTTTATTCTTATAGCAACCAGATGAAACAAATTCAACAATTTAGATTCAAAATATGAAAGGAATTCAGAATATAATAATTGTGAATATAATTTCTCCTTTTCCAAGTCTGTTAGTCTGGGTTGGCCGATTCCTCCTTTCCTGAGACAGTGAATCCAATTGGTCAAAGGTCCAGCTTTCCTAAAAAAATTCACAAACTAAAAAAGATGATCAGTAACAAGGTACAAGCCCTGAAAAGTTTGACTACTTCTTCAATGCAGCAAAACTGAGCCCTGGTTTTCACCTGTAAAAAATATAGGGTTCTGTGATTTGTCAATGACAATAATTTGTCAAGTTAATTTATCAAATAAATTATCACGAGTTATTGTTGATCCCTGCAAAATGGCTCACCATAACAGACCTTTAATCCTCTTCACAAAAATGCACTAAATGTCAACAAACTACATACAAAAAATAGTTAAAAGGAATCAGATGGTCGAGAGGTTAAGTGCTTTTACTCACAGACCAGTTATTTTCAGGGATTGTTGACAAATATGATCTCTTACAATTACATCTATACCAATAAGGACTGTCACAAGTGAATACAACACAGTTGTAATGCATAGATGCTTTAAAACAGGTGTTAAAAAATATAATGAACTGAAATTTAAGTGAGTAAGGCCCAAACTGATACCAATGCCAAGTGATAAATTGCTGAAAGAAAGAGGCAGATCTGACTTATAACTTTTGACCATTTTAACCTTCATGAAATTACTCATAAAACAACTTTCTCTGTTTTCCAGTTTCAGGCACGCCTGGTCTATAATGGAAGAGCTGAAGTTGGCTGGATGACATTGCAAACTTCACAATCTCATGTTCATGATCTCAATGGCTTCTCTGGGCTACAGACATTTCAAACTGGTCAATAATCCATGTGTGGCTTGAAATATACAACTCAATTCTACAGATTCTGAGTTCTTCACAGAACAAGTGATAGAAGTCACTTCAGAAAGTCAATACATCAGTGTCAGTTTTGCTGCAATGGTGTCAAATCTTATTACTAAAATATGACATGGCGCGCATAAACATTTGAGTGAACAGGCTAGTTTTTGCCAATTATGATTAAATGTTTAGAACATAATTATCATTAGTCGACTGAGGACATTCACAGCACAGTCCATTGTTCGCTGGTGATGAAATTCAGTGGAGTCGAGGGTGCCTTTGGCATCACACATTAGGGACATACCTTCATCTTTCTCTGTAGATTTGACCGTCCTGACCAAAGGTGAAGTCAAATAGACCTGAAGAGTCAGGATAGGTTTGGTGGTACTTTGAACAACAATTGCTCCATTTTCAGTGTTGTCAGCAGTTGTATACATTCCTGGTGAAATGGTCTTCAAATGAAAAAAAAAACAACCATCAACAAATGCAAAAACATATGTAAACAATTAATGTTCCATGTCATAGGTCATACCTCTAGTTCTAGTGCTAGCTTTTCAGTCACTTGTCTGAGAAGTGAAAGTGTTGGCTTTTTAGAGGAAAGCAGGACCAGCTCAAGATCTCGATCACCCTTCAGTATAAGTCCTTTGGCAACTAACCCAACCCTCATGACACCACGCAATACACGGCCTTGTTCGTCACTGAATTCACTATAATGACGAAATAGAAAGTAAGTAGTCGGCTAAGCAGTAAGTGAAATAATAGGTATGTTTCACCTTGGTGTAACATCCATTTGATCAGAGACAGGCTTCAGAGCGTGTTCAACATGGGATACAATCATTTGGACTGCATCCAGGAGCCTCGCTGAAGGATAAATATCGGAATGTTTTGCCATCACGTGCCGGTCATAAGGACGAGGGCACGTTTGCTATAGAGAAAAGACACTGAGTTTTAATTTCAAGAATAAGACTACAAGCCATGACAAAATACTTTAGTATAGTTCCATATACCAACCTCTTGTTGCTTCTGACCTTCAATTTCTTCTACAGCAGCAAGGTAGTCGTGATAATGTCGTAGGTCTTCTTTATAGCAAAGGCAATCATACCAATACCTCAACTCTTCATATCTGGAGAAGGCAAAATTATGATTTTTGGACTCATGAGAATAAATACACAAAATGTACATGGTGTGCACATGGCACCTGTCATAGTCGTGTGGATGTAGCCGGTGTCCCCTCTGGATGAGATCGTCCCAGTACAGCAGCTCCTCATACGCCTCACGCTCGTCCCACTTCGCCTGAGCGGCCGCCATCACAACAAGCCCGCCTGATGACAGCACCCTTCATTGAAACAACAACATTACTTTCATTTCCATCTAAACATATCACGTCAACCCTGACGTGTAGAGGAGTTAGTTATTTAGTTGCAGTTAAGAGAGGCCGCGTGCAAACACGTCTTTAGGGCTAACATAACAGCTAACGTTACATACAGCTAGAAGCAGAACATATTCTGGAAAATAATTACACAATCCATTAATTTAGGGTCTTTAATTTGTCGACCAGGGATAAAACTTGAAGTCCTTCAAAGCTGAACCAATTGGTCAACGAACTTAATGCATAAATAACCCTTGTTTACTGGCGATACAGTGACCCGCTAGCTAACCAGTGGTTCGTTACCCGTTAGCCTATTAGTATTAGAATGTGTGCAATCAAACCATTACAAATGTTATACGTACATGTGCTTTTCACACAGTGCTTACCTTATAAATTATAAATCGTTTTAGTTGTAGTGGTAACCTTTTTAGGTTATTCTAAAGTTGCCTAGCCTTTCCAGCTCAGAACGGTGGTCGCAGAATTGTGACGTAGATTGCATTACGCCCCTCAGGGGAAGCTCATGTTCTGATTGGTTCTCTTTCTTCCTGGAGGATATTAGAATATTCATAATTCATGCTGCAGGCTACAGACTAGGCTACTGACTATCATAGCCCGTGCCAAGTTTTGACTGTTTGGTCTTACCATCATAGAAATAATTATTGTAAACAGTCATTGTTACAAATCACATTTACATCATCTTGGTAAAGGATAGGGATGTGTACATATAGATTGCTGCCAAAGCTGCATCACAGCATGTTAATTTCTGACTTTACCCTTTCGATTACATTTCAGGGTTGTTGTGGGTACATAACCCATTTGTCAGGTAATGGCCGTAGAAAAAATATGACAGGCGTCTGTAAAAAAATCATTAAATCATATTTACTATCAGTATACGAGATAAATCCTTAAGATAATTTCTATTTAAATCAAGCCCTCTTTACTTTGTGTTGTACTTTCTGTTGTACAATTATCTGTGATGATGTGTAGGCCAAGATAATGGCAGAGCTGATGACCCGTCAAAATAACAAATGTGGATGTAGAGTATTGCCATAAAGAAATACTACAAACAATAATATCAAAACTTATTTATGCCACTGACAACAATAAAACCAAGACAATCACAAATAAAAATAAGTACATTATCATTAAAAGGCTTTTGTTGCAAAAAACAAACACAAATTAGGGTAATTTTACCATCTTCAGCTCACATATTGTAAAAAAAAAAGAAAAGAAAAAAAGATCGAGGCCCAAAATAGCTTAGTCCATCCATCATTTTTTTTAAACCACAAGTTGATATAGTACAGGAGTTACTGCAACAGGACTGCACCAGGTGTCCTTGAGCACTTGCAGTACTATAGTTCCATTACTCTGATACGGACTCTACTTCGGTTAGACACGATGAACCTGGTTTTTGTCAGAGTTTGAGTAGAACAGCCGCTCACGAGCCTTGGGAGATATGAGATAGATCTTCTGGAGGAGAGTGTAACGTAGCAGAATGTAGAAGGATCCTGGTTGAAATTAGTGCCGATTTCGTTTGCTGTTTAAATGTGGCTGCTCCTTTTCTGTGTCTGTAGCTGAAATGGGTCTTTTAGCTGGTGGTCCCGGTGCTAGAACACAAATGTATACAAAACTGTCACCTTTTTATCTCTCGAAGTGGAAGGTGCGATATAATACTTACCTGGAATATTTGCAGAGGCTTCAGGTTTTTGGGGTTTAGGAGCCATTCTCAGGGCCTTTGTTATCTTCCCAGATGCCCACTGCCTCAAAATAAGCTGTAGAATATAAAAGTTAAGGCGTTCAGAAAAAGTGCTTTTGGAAACGTAGGATGCTTTGACAAAGAAGTTCAATTACCAGTTCAAACCAGTACAGCTAGAACCAATAGTAAGGGCACTAAGCAACATTCACAGTGGGAGGTATGTTTTGTGTGGCATTAATCTTGATCAATCTAGATTAGACACAACGTGGTTACTTAACTTGGCTTCAAATCATATCTGCAGACGAGACGACCCACTATCGCAGTTACGTTTTTGAGTAGGGAAAAAAAAGAAGTGCAACTAAATCATGCCAAATATGTTAATTCCATTAAAATAAATAACATCTCAACGGCAGGAAGCAGGTAGTGGACCCCTAGAGAACATTGAAATCTAGTTTTGCTCTCCTTTGGCACAGATCATGTTCACTTCAATCAAAACAAAACTAACCACAACAGTAGAAAAGCATACAAAATAATGTTGCTAGGATTCACCTTAGGACTTGACATTAAACTGCACTAAAGTCCACCACCGCCTGAAAGTGGCCTCTGTACAGTTTCACAACTCAAAAGCACCAACACAGAGGCTCCCCACTCTGGCCAAATTTAAATGGAACCAAATTGTTTAGTGTCAAAGTTCTGGGATTGAATGACCTGCAAGTGAGCCGTTTACCTGTGCCTCTCCTGTGACGTCTTCACGCTGCTGTGTTGTCAAGTGTTCAATAGCATCTACAGGATCTTTTTCACATGGGTCCTTAATTCCAGGTCCATCTGGGAACAAAAAAATAAGACCGGTCACACACTGATTGATACTGGAAATGTATATACAGTGTAAACAGATTTGACTTCAGATGGTAACATAAGAAAGCCTATAAACTATTAGTGCTGCATTAGCTTTTGAAATATTTACGATCCATAAAATGCCCTTTAAGCAGTGGTCATTTTGACGTTTTGACTTGCTTGAAGTCAAAACAAAGTTATAATTTCAAAGTCAACATAACTTAAACACAAAACCATATACAAAGACTATCAATAAGCCAATTTTGAAAATGCTGCAATATTGGTTTAGCTTAGTTTGTAGCACAAACAATGCATGAATTATTTTGACTTTTTTTCCCCACACTTTAGCTGTATCATACATTTTGGGGGCTGACCAACCTTCGTAAAGTATTCCAGTAGAGATTAATTCTAAGAATCGGCGCAAAGCCTCTCCAGCGCCCAAAGGCCTCTCAGACGTTACAATGGCCTTCTCCACAAGCAGCTCAAGAGGCTAATCAAAACACATAGTCCAAATAAAATAGTAATGTTTAAGTCCATTTATACTGTTTAAAACTTACCCATCCGGAGAGTGGCTGTAAGGTAGGCACACGCTTACACAAGTCTCTCAATATCCGGATTACAACAAGTGCAGAGCCCAACTTACTGACTTTAGACTGAAATAAATACATGACAAATGGAATGAGCTTCTTAAAATGTTTTCCTTCAGTTAAATGAGCAAATCTCACAATCTACTCTATTTGGGAATACAAGGTTAATTTTGAGATGGCTCAATCATGGATTACTCTATTCACAAAACTTGCTCAAATGCAAATTTTGTCAACGTTACTATTGAGTCAGATTTATTTTTTAAAATTAATATGAAAAGGAGTTAATATTATTGAAGACTAGACAATCGTACAAATAAGGACGTCATTGCAAACCTGGAACCACTTGGCATGACGAAGAGATGCCAAGGCAGTCAGGCATTTCTGCCTGTCCAGAACGTCCGGCGGATCGCTGACCGCTTGCGTTTCTATTGACGAGGAAGAAAGAAAAGATACAGATTCACAACTATAACACCTATTAACACCTATAATTAATCGTTAATGAGCAAAGCATTCACACTGATTGATTGAATTAGTTGAGTGCAGTTGAGTGTGCCGGTGCGTCACATACGATCCAGAAAGGATTAAGAGTTGAACATGTTTGATTGCAAAAAAGCTTTGAAATGTCTATAAGTACTTACAATTTGAAACCGTTGCATGTCAAGCACACAGTACTAATGTACTTATTTACTTACATTATCTGATACTTGCTTCACACTAAAATGTTTCTGTGCTGTGCCAACACTGCTCTGAAGGAGACATTCTGATTTAAAGTTGTTCTCACCCCCGCTCCTCGGCGCTTGTGTCACTCAGGTTTCCTGTTCAAATCTTCCTCTAAATGGGCATAGCCTGGAGGACTAAAGGGGGCGTGAACAAGACTGGGCCGTTTATAGGTCGGCACTAGATCATATACAAAATCGGGACGAAACCGGAAATAACAATCCTACTTTCTAATTAGTTTTAGACTAAAAAGTCCTTAAATGGTGACTGGTTAAGTTTTAGGTGTCTAGGTGGTTAAGGTTAGGGTTAAGGCTGGGTTGGGGTTATTTAATGGGAATGGCTGGTTTAGTTTAGGCATGAATAGGTATTTTGTTATATTTACTTCCGCTTCCGTCCCGATTCCGTATATGATCTAGTGCTGACCGCCGTTTATATAGCTCTGGGCAGGGGGCTGCTGACGTCAGGTCTTGCTTCAGACGTCAGGTCTTGCTGCCGCGCCAGTGTTGGCGCCAGATTCAAAATTAAAATGTAGTAATACAGGTCGCCAGCAGATGGCGCCTCACAGACGGTTTTAGGCAGAAAGTTTAACATTCAACTAATTTGCACCAAAGTGACAAAATTATGACCAGGATATGTAGACATCACTATTGGACACTCATTTATACCGTTTATCAGCAAAAAAAAAAGTGGATTTAAGGGTGAGTTGTCCTTTAACAATCAAGCAGTTGCTATTTGAAATAATAATTCTGACTTTATTGTTTGGAATATTAATCATAGTTCTTATAGAACCATTCTTTCAGAATGCAATTAAGGATTTAAAAGTCATTAGATTATTTGATTAATAAAAAAAGACTAATCAATCAAATACTCCAAAACTAATTGTTGCAGCCCTAGTCCATACCTTCATTTTCCTGTGTGGCGTCAACCTTCTTGAACATCTGTGAAGTTAAATTGACCCAGAGAGTCAGGTCATGCGTAGAAGTGCTTTGAACAACAATAGCTGCATTTTCAGGTCTGTCAGTTGTTGAGTAAATTCCTGGTGAAATAACCTGAAATGTATGAAGCAAATTAAGCCTTTAACAAAAGTGAATGAGTAACCTGTCACAACAATGTCAACATGAAATGATCAGCGTCATTGGTCATACCTCTAGTTCTACTGCTAGCTTTTCAGATACTTGTCTGAGGAGCGAAACTGTTGGCTTTTTGTAGGAAAGCAGGACCAGCTCAAGATCGTTATCATCGTTCAGTATAAGTCCTTTGGCGATTAACCCAACCCTCATAACACCACGCAAGACACAGCCTTTTTCATCACTGAATTCACTAAAAGGAGGAAATTATCACATTATTCTCAAACAGTGGGTGAACCACCCAATCCAAGTTGTTTGGCTCTTTATCAGATAATGATATTTACATCATGGGCAATCACAATACTGATCATGTACAGATTTCCCAGTGATAGCAATTTGACTAGTTTTAGTTTTGTTTTAATACCACAATTGAATATTGTATATTATGTTAATTTTAACTAAAATAATCCCCAGTATATAATAAACCTGAATTAAAACATAATAATTTGTTAAATTATGGAATAATCTGCAAAACATCTGCAGATTAAAACTAATTCAGAACATTATATTCTCTTCTCCAACCCTTTAGCCCACTTGCAAACAGGCTTTTTCATCATACTGTACATGTGAGACTTCTCTGCTGCCTAGCACAATCTTTTGTAACCACCATTCAGGCTCTGAGAAAACACCAGAGCATAAACTGCGTTTCAAGTATTCTACCTGCGCCCATTGACTTTTATTGAAAAGCACAGTAAAGCATGAAAACTGTATACATTATGAACAAGATGAACACACAAGTGCATTCATCTTTTTTATCACATGTTCAAAGCAGAAGCCTAGTGCCTTCTGATGTGAAACATGCAGAATTAAACAATAGGATGAAACTTTCCATGTATGTATATAATCAAAATGGTATAATGTATTTAGATACAAATATTATCAAAACAAATATATATATATATATATATATATATATATATATAATTTTTTTTTTTTTTTTAATCATATAATAAATAAACCAACTTTTAGAAATATCTGATTATAGTGTTGTACCTTGATGTAGCATCCATCTGAGTAGAGACAGCCTTCAGAGCATGCTCCACGTGGGAGACAATAAGTTGGACCGCCTCCAAGGTACTTTTTGAAGGATAAATTTCCAAATGCTTTTTATTCACCGGACGGTCATAAGGGCGTGGACATATTTGCTTTGGAGAAACCTGAATGAGTTTTGATTGGTTTAAAAATTAAACAACAAAAAAGACGACAAGACTAAAGCAATTTGCATAGTTTTTTACAGTACCTCTGGTTTCTTCTTAACTTTATGAACTTTAGTTTCCTTTACAGTAGCAGCAGCAGCAGCTCGATGGTCATGGTAATTTCGAAGATCTTCTTCATAGCGAAGGCAATCATACCAATACCTCAACTCTTCATATCTGGAGAAGGTAAAAAGACAAAACGTTATACTTAATACTTTATACAAGTAAAAGTATACTTTATTCATTATTACTTGCACATTCCAACGAACACCATTTGAGTGCACAAAGCATAAAACTGTCAAATCAATAAGTTTATGCAAGTTATGAAGGAAAAAACTATTTATACATTATAATTTACTACATATATGACCTGGATCATTGCCTTTTGGCTTCACACTTTTTATGTGCATGTTGCGTAGTTTGCAGTGCAACTTCTGCTTAGTTCTAGTACCCAACATTATTAAAGCAACAGAGTAACCTAAATTCTTCAATAAAGATGGAAATATTTTGCACATAGTTATGTATGTGTAACCTGGATGCTTTACATAGGCTTGGTGAGCAGTAATAGATTTAAGGGGAGGGATGTATTCCTCGATATTAAAAGAATCTATAGCCGTAGCCCTGTGCACAGTCACCTGTCATAGTCGTGTGGATGCAGCCGGTGTCCCCTCTGGATGAGATCACCCCAATACAGCAGCTCCTCATACGCCTCACGCTCGTCCCACTTCCCCCGAGAGGCCATCACCAGACACGGCTGAAAACAAACACATACAACGAATTGTTCAGATTGTTCCCATGATTATATAATAGATCCATGGATGAAACACATAAATAGTGGCGCTGGTGCACAACGTGCTGACATTGTGTTGACAATACTCAACATTATACATACAATTTATTCAGCATTATCAACTAGTCTAATAATGATATTGAAATGTGACATATTTACAGACAATAAAAAACTCAAATCGACTCAACGTTGTAGCGTGTTATTGTTTACTTGGTTGAACATACTGAGCTAACCAGTGTTTTTTTTACCCGATATGAACAGATACAACCCCATAAAGATGAAGGCAAACAAGTATTGGTGACGCGGAGTGTATAAGTGCCTAAACAGCTCTTACCCTGTACGCAGAAAATGATGTTATAGCGGTAACCTTTTCAATGGAATGATAGAGTTAGCATTAGCCTTTAGCCACAGATGCGGGGTGTCAGGACTTCTTCTTTTCTCACATTAGAGCAGACTGCAGAACAACGCTGAAACATGTGTACCGCCACCTACTGTATCAGAGTGTCATTACATGGCATGGATCTATTACATGGCTGTAAAAAAAAATGTGAGCATCTTTGGTTTGAATTTTTTATTTTTTATTTATTTTTCTATCAAATTGTCCAAAAAAATTATTGCATTTCTATCACCAAGGGTCGTTTTAGCATAAAGCATGATGGATAATAAAAATGTTCTGCCTTACCTGCTTCAATTTCATCTAAATGCACAGTCTCACTCACTTGTGTATGCAATTTATTGTTGAGTAGTTTCTGTGTTTACAAAATGGTAATACTCTGTTTGAAGTTTCTTTGAGCTCAGATAACATGTTTGACAGTAAGCCTAATATTGGAATGGGAAGTCACTAGACTAGGGAGGTATATATCACAGTTACATTTACTGTTACAACAAAAACAAGCAACTGTTAATTGATAATTTGTGCATTATAATTACTCCTTGGCTCTGCTCTCCATCTGTGCAGAGATTGAAGGAAAAGACTCATTTGGTGCAAAACAAAATGAACAGATACAACAGGGAATACATAAATAGACCCCCCCAAGAGACAATTTAATTTGTGTTATTTATATTAATAGTGGCATGATTATACAAGCTCCATCAGACTGCATTAAATCATGTGTGAATAAAACAAAGAAGAAGAAAGAAATAGAAACTCCATTAGAAAGGTCATCCAATATTAACGGCTTATTAACCGGGCGCAAAGTCTGTATGGAGAAATATCAGACCTTAATACCCGCGGTCTGATATTTCTCTTTATTATATGACTTGGACCATATGCGCGCTCTGATTGGCTGATTACCGGTCTGATATTTTCCCATCTCGGACCGTTACCATGACAATTGGTCCGAACAGCGCGTATCACACATTTGATATCTTTCCTCGGACCGTTACCATGACAATCTGTCCGCAGCGCGTATCACACAAAACCAAGTTGGACATGAACATACTTCATAAATATCTCAAAAGCATTTGGTAAAGACACAGACGAGAGTCATATAATAAAACATTTATTAACCTTGCTTGCTCGGTCTGTACAGAGAAATATCAGACCTTGGCCTTTTTGCACAGACCTCGCCACGGCTCGGTCTGTACATTAAGGCCGCGACCTGATATTTCTCCATATACAGACCTCGCGCTTTGATATCTTTCCTCGGACCGTTACCATGACAATCGGTCCGCAGTGCATATCACAATTGATTTCTTTCCTGAGTTTCCTCGGTAAAAAAGAAATAATGGGCGACAACTGCGAGCATTCTACCAGTAAATTCTATTATCCGGACGAGTTTGACAAGGAAAGATATCAAATGTGATACGCGCTGTTCGAACCAATTGTCATGGTAACGGTCTGAGATGGGAAAATATCAGACCGGTAATCAGCCAATCAGAGCGCGCGTACGGTCCAAGTCATATAATAATGTATTATATCACAGTATAGCAATAACAACACTAGCTGCACCTATTTTTTCCCAACCCACTATTCCTATGGGAACAATCCGATTAAGATTAGGACATATTTATTTAGTCACTGATTAGGCTTTGGAAATGGAAAATCTTGAAAATTGGTGTTCACTGAGATTTTGGAAGTGAAATATAGAAAAACATGTGATCCATATAAGACTGCATTACCCCAAGCATTGGAAGAAGAGGCATGAGAGTTCAAATACAGGATACATTTACAGTGCCTTGCGAAAGTATTCGGCCCCCTTGAAACTTTCAACATTTCGCAACATTTCAGGCTTCAAACATAAAGATATAAAATTTTAATTTTTTTCATGAACCCACAACAAGTGGGACACAATCTTGAAGTGGAATGAAATGTATTGGATAATTTAAACTTTTTTAACAAATAAAAAACTGAAAAGTGGGGCATGCAATATTATTCGGCCCCTTTACTTTCAGTGCAGCAAACTCACTCCAGAAGTTCAGTGAGGATCTTTGAATGATCCAATGTTGTCCTAAATGACTGATGATGATAAATAGAATGCACCTGTGTGTAATCAAGTCTCCGTATAAATGCACCTGCTCTTTGATAGTCTCAGGGTTCTGTTTAAAGCGCAGAGAGAACCATGAAGACAAAGGAACACACCAGGCAGGTCCGAGATACTGTTGTGGAGAAGTTTAAAGCCGGATTTGGATACAAAAAGATTTCCCAAGCTTTAAACATCACAAGGAGCACTGTGCAAGCAATTATATTGAAATGGAAGGAGTATCAGACCACTGCAAATCTACCAAGACCCGGCCGTCCCTCCAAACTTTCATCTCAAACAAGGAGAAGACTGATCAGAGATGCAGCCAAGAGGCCCATGATCACTCTGGATGAACTGCAGATAACTACAGCTGAGGTGGGAGAGTCTGTCCATAGGACAACAATCAGTCGTGCACTGCACAAATCTGGCCTTTATGGAAGAGTGGCAAGAAGAAAGCCATTTCTCAAAGATATCCATAAAAAGTCTCGTTTAAAGTTTGCCACAAGCCACCTGGGAGACACACCAAACATGTGGAAGAAGGTGTTCTGGTCAGATGAAACCAAAATCAAACTTTTTGGCCACAATGCAAAACGATATGTTTGGCGTAAAAGCAACACCGCTCATCACCCTGAACACACCATCCCCACTGTCAAACATGGTGGTGGCAGCATCATGGTTTGGGCCTGCTTTTCTTCAGCAGGGACAGGGAAGATGGCTAAAATTGATGGGAAGATGGATGGAGCCAAATACAGGACCATTCTGGAAGAAAACTTGTTGGAGTCTGCAAAAGACCTGAGACTGGGACGGAGATTTATCTTCCAACAGGACAATGATCCAAAACATAAAGCCAAATCTACAATGGAATGGTTCACAAATAGACGTATCCAGGTGTTAGAATGGCCAAGTCAAAGTCCAGACCTGAATCCAATCGAGAATCTGTGGAAGGAGCTGAAGACTGCTGTTCACAAACGCTCTCCATCCAACCTCACTGAGCTCAAGCTGTTTTGCAAGGAAGAATGGGCAAGAATTCCAGTCTCTCGATGTGCGAAACTGATAGAGACAAACCCCAAGCGACTTGCAGCTGTAATTGCAGCAAAAGGTGGCGCTACAAAGTATTAGCGCAAGGGGGCCGAATAATATTGCACGCCCCACTTTTCAGTTTTTTATTTTTTTTTTAAGTTTAAATTATCCAATAAATTTCGTTCCACTTCACGATTGTGTCCCACTTGTTGATTCTTGACAAAACATTTTATTTTAATATCTTTATGTTTGAAGCCTGAAATGTGGCGAAATGTTGAAAGGCTCAAGGGGGCCGAATAATTTCGCAAGGCACTGTATTAAGCATCAGTACATGGAAACTCAAGTATGTCTTTTCCCACTTTACATTTAATTATGTACGACATGCAGAGCTGGAGCGTCCTGGGTAAAGCACATACGTCACTCTTCTACAGCCTCTGCCCCAGTTGGACTTGATCAACCTGGTGCTTGTTTGAGCTTGGGTAGGACGTGGGATCCCAGCGGCCCAGCACGCTGCTCCTCAGACCTGCCTGGCACTTGGCGATGAGGTAGATCTTCCGGAGCACAGTGCGACGTAGCAGGATGTAGACCCAAGGATCCAGGATTTGGTTCCACGTTGCTAGTCTCACACCCCTCAGCATCAACGTTTTGTAAGTGATGAGATCCTCACCAATAGATCCAGTATAAGAGTACAATACAGACATCAAGCCAAAGACCTGAAAAAGAGAGAAAAAAAACTTCTAAAAGTGCTGGAAAAACTGATGAATATTAGGTGAATATTCAACAATAGACCAAATGTGTATTTGTTTGATTGGGACAACATAAACTTGGTAGGATTGAGCTTAAACAGTCTGAAAATATGATATACAATAAAACAGTACACATAATATTTGGATATATAATTTATCAAAATATAATGTATATGTTTCCCAACAAGAAATGATATGTTTACCAACGTGAGTTAATCATGTTCACATCATATTTGGCGAGAGTAAATTAGTAACAGACATACAAATAAAACATTTTAAATTGTGCAAAAGCTCAATATTTTTCCCTTTCTTGTAATATTTAAAAAAATAAAATAAATAAAAGTTTGATATATTGTAATGAATCATATAAAATGCCAGGTCCAATGCTGACAATGTACATATATTTTGGTCTCTTTTTAGACAAATTGCAATATTTTGAAAGAAGAGATGATCGTGGCTCAGTTGGTAGAGCACCTTAGAGGCGGAAGGTTGTGGGTTCGAGCCCACCATAGAACCTACTTGACGACTCGCATAGAAGTTTGCTGTTGTTGTGTCGTTGGGCAAGACACTTGACCCCACTTTGCATGAAGCCCCTGCTGAAAGATTACGCCTCCTGTGGACTCACCACCTTCAGGGGGATCAGTGAGGGGCTGGTGCTGATTAAGGGGAAGAAAATTGATGCAATGTTTATTTTCCTTGCATCTATTCTCATTAATTAGTCTATGTTTAAATTAAATTACTTTTCATTAGGTTATTACTTACATCATAAATAACTGTTAAATACTACCAACATGTCCAATTCATTATCTTAAAGCTGCCTTGTTTTCTCACTGTTTTTGATACATTTACAAAATCAAATGTTTGTACAATTCACCACATGTAAATAAACATGTTGACCATAAATCTGGTCATTAATGTGTGCAACGTTTCAGAGTACGTTACGATTGCTTGTATTTCCCAGTTCTCACCAATAGAGGGCTCCAGCAGATGCATGAAGTGACCATGATGCCCAGCAGCTGCACCACCATCTCAATGTCATGGTAGTTTGCAGAATGATGCGTCCTGGGTCTCCTCCTCAGCCGTGCCAAAACCAACGTCAGTCCGCTTATAGTATTACAGACCAACGCCACGGCCAGTGAGGTCAGTCCTAATCCTGAGAATAGCACCACAAACGCTACATCCACCTCTCCAATGTCATTCAGGACCTTTATAAAGCACCACGTCCCTGGGTCCTGATACGTGTAGGAGCCTAACTGAAAGCAGGGCAATAAGGCCACAGAGAGAGCCGCCAGCCAGATCATGCATAGACTGACTTTGGTTCGAGCAGTTGTGACCAAACACGAGTGAAGAAGAGGTTTTGTGACACCCAGGCAACGCTCCGCCGCCATCGCACATCCAAGGAACAGCGGACACAGGCCAAAAAACACCATGCTGCCCCCCAAGAATTGACACATCCCATCTGTGGAGTTGTGATCTTCAGGACGGACCCCTCCAGAAAGATACAGTCTGAGAACAAGGGCTCCGGGAATTAAATGCCCAATGAAATCAGTCACAACGAGCGAAGTGGCGAATAACAGGAAGGTGGCTTTGGATCGTCTTCGCTGGAGTGTGTATGCATTGGCCAAAATAAACAAAGCCACTATGTTGGAGATTATACCAAGAGTCATGGACAGAACAACAATTATGACTCCACTGGTCGTCGGGGTGACAAAGGTGAAGTTTTGTTGTTGGGTGAGGACGTCCAAAGCCAGCATGGCCGCCACGCTCTCTTTGCTGTCTTGGCAGAGCTGCGGACGGAGCAGGGGGCTGGTGGTGTTGTGGTGGCTCAGGGCAAACATTGCTTCATGATCTGCATGGTTGGACTCATATAAGAAGATGTCTGCAAGAGAGAGAAGAAGAAAAATTCATTGAACGGTTTGGGCACGTTCGGTTACTACAAATTATGAGGGTGTTGGCGTGGAAGTGAGCTTTGGTTTGAGGAGACTGTGCATTTAATCATCAGCAGGACAGCCGTGGTTTTACAGAAGTGGAGAGAGAGGAGAATATATTACTGAAGGCTCAGAAGATCTACCTATCTAAATGTCATTCTTGTCAGTTGTTAATTGAGTCTCTTTCTGGCACAAGTTAGCAGTTAATAGTTCACTCAAGATTGTTCAGTTTTTCAGTTTCAAACTTTGCATGTGCCTTACTTTTAATTTGTAAACCAATTAAATGTGGTAATGAGGTCATTTCACAAGACCTTAAACCTCCACTTCAACTATACAACGATCTTTCTGTACTAGAAAATAAACAGGAGTTATACTTGCTTCTTTATAATGCTAAAGCCAGATATTTTGTACATAATTCTTGCTTTTCTTGCTTCTTATTGAAGTTTTAAACGGCTTATTATGCTAAAGCTAGAGATTTCCTTTTATGTTATTTCATTTAGAAGAGTTTTGTTAAGAGCTGTGTTCATTTATCTTGTAATGTATTCTCCTCATTCCTTATGTTCTGTAACTGGTGATGCAACACTGAAATTTCCCCACTGTGGTACGAACAAAGATCTCTTAACCTCTTCTCAAACTACATCCCACTGTTTTCTGAGATATAATTCTATGCTTGTGTGTGCTGATTAGCTTGTTGCACATGCCATACACTAAATATAGACTTGGACCCTTGTCTTACTTGCAGCGATTAGTGGTTGGGCTTCACAGAAGAATGGTCCGGGATTCCACCTCTGGACGGGGCCTTTTGGTGTGGAGTTTGCATGTTCTCTCCTTGTCTCCGTAGGTTTCCTCCAGGTGCTCCGGTTTCTTCTCGGTGCTGTCCGTTTTTCCCCAACCACTAAAACGATAGTTCAGGATGAATGAGATTAAGATTTGGAGATCCTTTATTTGTCCCACAGTGGGGAAATTTCAGTGTTGCATTACCAGTTACAGCATAGGAATAGCACACAGAAGATAAATCATAATAACTAAATCAAATGAGATCTAAACAAGTATAAAATCTCTAAAAGTGTATGTTTATAAATGCAATTGTGGGACAACAAACAGAGATTTTTCCAATCCAAATACACAATTACAAAAAAAAAACGGAGGGATATTGACAATCAGACCCTAACCATGGCATAAGAATTTTCATCCTTTTGTTCAACAGTCTTTCACACAAATTCAATCACAGTTGACAGCTGTTTTCTGGAGCCTCAGCGTCACAATTGAAGAGAGACCTTAAACCTGTCATTCTCCTCAGAATTACGACCAAACCCAATTACAGAGACAACAGCAGGAACAAGGGATTTGTGGATTTGTTCAAAGTTAAACAAGCGTAGAAGAACAAAAACACATCCGATGAGGGGCAATGACATGTAGATATTTCTTCAATTTAGTTCCACAAGTTTTTTATTGACATACAAGCCACTGTTTGAATGATAATGGTGGTTATTTAGGTTTATGAATCTCTATTTCGAATTGTTTAGTGCAGTCCTATTGGGTCTTATATGGGTTCAACCAAACACAATGACCTTTACAGAGTTAAGACAAAATGCAAAAAAAGACATTATATAGGCTCTGGAAAATTGTATCTTCACTGCAAATAAATAATCAATCTGAAATAGGTAACTTTTTGTATGTGGGATGAAAGGGATACATATTTTGGCTATATATTACTCAATCAGCAATTGTTCTTTTGATGAATTGATTAGTTTAGATGAACCAGTGGGATTTAAAAAAACAGCACATTTGACCAAGATAAGGCTGAAGAGAACGTCACAAAAAAGAATATTTTATACAAATTCTGCTTTAAGTAGTCTGTGTATGGTTCCGGGAAACGATTATTCCATTAATCATTTGACTACTGTTTTAATAAACGAGTTTGGTAAATCGATTAACGAATGCATTGGTTCTGTATCCAATATGTGATTTTAGGATCTAATATAGGACCAATTGTTGTCGGATCACGTATAAAGCAAACAATAGTGTTGTATAACTCGTCAATATGTTCTTAATTGTACACGTGTTAGTTACCCCGGTGGAGTCAAGGAGAAATGAGCGAATATTGAGCCAATTCATTATGCGCTTTTTAAGACTACCGTGGGATTGTTTAAATACAAAAGCGTGCACTCACCCCGTATAAGAAAACAGCAACCTGGTCCGCTTATGATCCAACAGTTTGTCAATGAGTGTTATAAATGATTCCCAAGCAGCGCGCAGCCTCTGCTCTGTGGCTGCAGCAGCGGCGCACCTCGGTCCTGTCCCCGCGCGCACTGAAAACGAGACCGACAGGAGCCAAGTCCACACCGAGACCTGTTCTAGCTCCCAGTGCACGGGGCTGTCTGCTCAGAGTCACTGCCATGTTTTGTAAGTGGCATCAGTATTCCTCTCATCTTCTGCACTCAATTATTGGCTAGGCTTAAAGCTGGGGTACCTAACTTTCAAGCCACAAATATGTATCTTGTTCCTCGCTCCAAAACAGTTTGATTCCATCACTATTCCACATGCATGTATTTATAGCCTCTGCCACAGCTTTGGGTAAGCGTTTTCAAGGTGGAAAGGAGAGGACCGCCCTCATTCAGCCAGTCAGCTTCATGCCCAAAGTGGCTCACAGGGCTCTTTCTTATGAGTATCGAAAAGTTAAAGAGTTATTCCTGGTTTGAAAAATATGTAAGTAAAAAATATGTTTACAAGACTTTCTTTTGGGACAAACAAAATGCGTTATTTGTGCGAAGAAAAACAGTTATGTACCCAAGCTGTTTGCACCGGTGTAGGAGGATTTCCCCAAATTTTAGGAAAGAACCGCCCTCTCCACTTTTTGCAAAAAATTCTCTGGTCTTGACGAGCACGCATCACCAGAATGATTGACAATTAGGAGGACCAATAGTCTTGATAATCCACACAGAAGTAGAAAATCCTACCTTTGAGTGACTTAATGTGATATGTAAGTTTCTGGAATATCTTTTTTGAAATAAAGAAATATAGTGGAAGATTACAGCTTGTTATTTTATTTTCACAAAAACAAACAAAGAGGTCCTCTGCAGGTCAATCATGAGTCAGGTTTGTGGAGATGTAAATCCATTCACATTTAGGAGGCATCAGAACAATTATGTTTTACTATGTATGTTCTGTCTTTCTAGCTGGTTTATTTACATTACAAGATCAAGTGCATTATTTCAATCAGATGTCACGTCCAGGACATTTGAGTTTTGTATTCTTTCCCCATAATACCTTTTTTCACCTGCCCATATACTCACCTCTCCAGGTTCCATTATGTTAAATAATGTCAGTGTCTGTTTCACCAGACTTCTGCGCTCCGAGACATTTCCCTATTCACACTTAGTCTTGAGATCACATGCAAGAAAGACACGTTTGTACCAGTTTCAAATCTGAATAAACACTTGCACTGGGATGTATCAAAATACTCACTTCCACTGTGCTGTCTTACAAATAAATTGCTTGTGTATTGTAATCAGAGACAGCAATGGATGAAAAGTTTATTTAAAATTCTTGTTGCTATTTTTGAGGGATCAATACAACATGATATTCGAGTGGATGCTGCTCATATATCTTGCTGACCCCACTGACACAATTATTAATGTCTTCCCTTTAGAATATTGACATTTGTAAGATAAGACATTTGTGATTGTGCTATTATGGCATTTTTCTACAACACTACTATAAAACTGTTGGACAAACTGTATATTGTGTATTCCATATTAAATAGTGCATATTGTGGACCTGTTTAACTAAACTGATGCTATTTCTATCTCTGGGATTGATCTAGTTTTGCGAACGGCTGAAAACGAGACGACACACATAAAGGTGTAGTGTTAGAAGAGCAGCATGTGGTGGACAGGTGCAGACACACGGAGGTCTGCAGCAGGAGCCACGTGGAAACATCCGAACTGAACATTTCACCCTCTGTTGATTTGTGTGGACAAAAAATGACTCAGGATCTCCCATCACAGTGCTAACCAGGCCCTGTATCGCCTCATTTCTGTGGTGTGGCTAGATCAGGCTTTCTCATGCACATGGTTATTTGCTTACATAAGTTGAATTAATTACTTAAGAATGACATTTAACAATACCGGAAGTTCATGTCTCTGGGTCCTCGGTCCAAACTAACCTCCTGCTTCTTTACAACATTGTCGACCTACTTCCACATTGAGTTTGTCTGTTCTCCTGAATATCAAACATTCTTCAAATCTCTGTTTTGGCCACACTTTATTACGGCACAGTATGTGTGAGCTGCTCCAATCGTAAAAAAGCCCAAAAGTCCTAAAACTTGTCAGTCAGGAATGCAGACAAGTGACCTCCAAATTTATATCAGGCAATGTTTGATATGGAAATGTGAGTACTTCAATTTGAGGAAATTAGAAATAATCTGAAAATAAAATCTTAATATATAAAATGTACATGTACAGGTCCAATGACCTGTCAAATTCATGCATTGAAATAATAAAATTGTGGTCACTTCTTGACATAGGGACTTGTGTGCTACAGAAGGTTCTGATTTTGTAAGAACCCAAATTAAACCGCTAAACAGTTGCGGTAGGGAAAAGTTGAGCCAAAATCCACTTGTTTCAAGACTTACAACCCAAAAACAAGCTACTTTTTTAAATTTCAGATTAGAATTTCTGTTTTACTTGTTGAAATGGCAGGATCAGACATGAAGAATGTAGTCTTTGATTCTGCGGTCGACAGGAAAGGGGAGAGCTGAAGGAGGAACCTCATAAAGTGCAGACTTAGTATTGGAAGAGTAAGTGAAGTACGGAGAGCTAAATGTCAGTGTTTCCAGGAGCGAGTGGTGAGGATAATAGAGCTGTGGGGGTCTCCTTCAGGAAATATGCATTCAGAGGCCAGACCTT